GGGTTTTTAATTGCTGTCACTTTTCCTACATGACGTTGTACCAGTTTTGTTTTTTGAAGTTAATTGTGCTTATCTTCTCCAGCTTGTTTTTTTTCTTTTTTTTTTTTTTACAAATGTGAGTTGTCAAATTACTAAATAAAAAAGAGTGGAAGTAGGTATATAAGCAGAGGTGTTACTTTCTTCTTCAAGCTCTGTCTTTGGCGGCACTGGGTCGATTCTGAGGCGTGTGTTCATGGTTGACTTCTAGATTTTCTGCCGTTCTTACTCCGATTTCTCCTTAGATCCAGGAGGTTTAAAATTTTGGTGTGCTGGAGAATTTTCCTACAAATGGTAGTGTTGATTTTCAGTTTTGCTGATTAGTGATTCGAAGAATTGAGTTTTAGCTGTGTCCTTACAGACGGCCAGTTGGTCTCCTACTGAATTTTCCGTGCGCTTTGCTACATTTTCCATACGGTGCTCTATGAATTTGGACGCTCAAAATAAAACGTTGAGGTTTTAGTGGTGATTGCATCTCATTAAATTCTCTTCCTGTCTCACCTATTGCTTTTGGCCTCAATTTTCACCTTGTCTGACATTGTGTCACCCCAGTATGTGTGGTGTTTGCCTGACGATTGTAGCTCGATTTTGAGTCTTTTTTTTTTTTTTTATAAACTTTGAAATAATTTAGATTGACCTAGAGTCCCGGGAGTGCCTGTGGACTCCTCACCCAGCTTCCTCTAATAAAAACGTCTTCCCTACCCCTAGCATAGTTGCCCAAACCAGGACATTGGCGTTGATAGAATACTCTCAGCTAAACACCAACCTTGTTCGAATGCCACCTGCTTTTAGGCAAACGCAAGGCTATGGGCACAGTCCTCCTGGTGGCAAAGCTGCCCAAGCCTTCTGATACCCACTACTAGTTCAGAGGGTTCCCCAAATTACCCTTGGGTTGGACAATTCACTAAAAAGACAGAACTCACCGAAACCCACTGTACTGTTGGTCAGGCTTATGACAGGGAAGGGTACAAATCAGAACCAGCCCGAGGGTAGAATCTGAGAGTGTTCCAAGAACAGCGCTCCCGGGCCTTCCCCGCAGTGAGTCCTTCTAAGAGAATCACCAAGCCTGAGGGTGGCCTTGGGGACCTCTGGCACCAGCCCTGTGAAACTTGATCTCGTATGTAGATTCATGTGACCATCACCACTGTTGATGTGAACTCTTCCATGGCCCCCAAAACTCCCTTCTGCTCCCCTGCTTATAGGCACGCCCTCCTAACCCTGCATCCTGGTGGCCTCTCCTCCATTCTCCGTCACCCTTATTGTCACTTAGAGAATGTTAGGTCAGTGGAACCATACAGTACATAACCAGTAAGACTGGTTTCTGTCACTCGGCATGATAGCCATGAGACCAGCCCAGGATGCCACGTGTCCGCTCCCATGTCCACTCCTCCTCATGGCCGGGGCATCCTCTATCGTGGGGGTGCTCCCGAGTTCCTCCATCCATTCCCCCACAGACCGATGTTTGGGCTGTTCTAAGATTTGGCTCGTACAAGTAAAGCTGCCCTGAGCATTTGCAGATTTGTGTGTGCACGTGAGGGTCCGTATCTGGGACCGTAGGACCTAGCATTGCTGGGTCACAAGCTAAGTGTGTGTTTAACCTGACGGGACGCGATCAGCCTGCTCTGCAGAGTGGCCGTGACACGCACCTGCCCTCCAGCAACAAGCGGGAGTCGCTCCTGTCCTCGCCAGCACTTTGATAGGTGTGTAGTGTATCCCCTTGCAGGCTGAGGCGGAACATCATTTCCTGTGTATGTCGTCCTTGGTGAAGACTCAGGTCAAGACTTTTGCCCTGTTCCTATTTTTTTTTTTTTCAGTGTTAAATTTTAAGTGTCTAAAAAATATCCTGGATTAAAGTCTATTTTCATTTTTGAGTATGAGATTTGAAAATATTTGTTGTCCAGTCTGTTTTTGTTTTTTTCCCCAATTCTCTTAAATAGTGACTTTCCTGGGCAAAACGTTTTGATTTTTGATGAAATTCAATGAGCCTTTATTTTTTCCTGGATTTTTAACAATTTTTTTATTCAAGTATAATTTAGTGTTGGAGGTGTACAATATGATTCAACAATTCTATGTATTTCTCAGTGTTAAGTGCAGTGTACTTAAAAAATTTTTTTTTAATTCCAGGATAGTGAAGATAGAGTGTGATACCAGTTTCAAGTGTACAATATAGTGATTTGGCATTTCTGTACATTACTCTGTGCTCATCATGGTAAATGTACTCTTAATCCCCATCACCCCCAATCACCCCCATCCCCCGCACCCTCTCCTCTGGCAACCATCAGTGTGTTCTCTGTAGTTAAGAGTCGGTTTTTTGGTTTGTGTCTTCTTTTTCTTTGTTCATTGGCTTTGTTTTTGAGATTGCACTTATGAGCAAAATCATATGGCACTTGTCTTTCTCTGACTGACTTATTTCACTTAGAATTATACTTGCTGGGTCCATCCATGTTTCTGCAGATGGCAAGATCTCATTCTAAGATTTTGAGGATGAGTATGGGGGTGGGGGCAGAAAGAGAGGGAGACTCGACTGAGCAGGGAGCCCGACATGGGGTCGATCCCAGGACCTCGGGATCATGACCTGACTCGAAGGCAGACGCTTAACTGATTGAGCCACCCCAGCTGCCCCAAGATCTCATTCTTTTTATGGCTGAGTAATACTCCATTGTATATACACTACATCTTCTGTATCCGTTCATCCGTGGATGGACGCGAGGCTGCTTTCATGTCTTGGCTATTATAAATAATGCTGCAATGAACATAGGGGGGCAAATACCTTTTTGAATTAGGGTTTTCATTTTCGTTGGTTCCTCAGGAAGTTAAAAACAGAATTACCATATGACCCAGTAATTCCACTACAGTGTATTTACTCAAGTTTCTTTTATCTTTTAGGGATGGTCTTGTGGGGTCAGGTCTAAGAACTCTGCCTAATCCTAGATCCCAAAGATTTTTTTCCGTTTTTCTTCTGATTTTGATCTGTGGCTCATTTTGAGTTCATTTTTGTGGAAGGCATGAGGCTTGAGTCGAGGGTGGCTCTTTCTGCTGTTCCAACACCATTTATTGAAATGACGATGTTTTCTTCATTAACTTGCTTCCGAATTGTTGTCCAGAGTCACAACATTTCCTTTTTGGGGGAACAGTTTAAACTATGTCACTGTCCTTAGACGTTTTGGGACTAATCAGATTACTGCATATTAATGTGTTGCAATAGTTTGTGGTTTTCAAGGAATTGGTTTATTTCCTTTGTTAAATTTCTGTGCCTGAGATTCTCAGTATTACTGTTGGACTATCTCGAGGGAGCTGGCATGATCAACCACCTTTGTCCCTAATATTGGCAATTTGTATCTTTTTCCCTTGGATAAACCTCTAGCAAGACTGGCGATTTTATTGATATTTTAAAAGAACTAGCTTTTATTTGATTTTTTTCATCAAAAATCTTTGACTTCACTGATTTCTGCTGTTTCCTATTTTTATTTTGGTGAATGTCCCTTTGCTGCTGAGCGGTGAGCATTCTATAAATGGGAGTCAAGCTAAGTTGCTTAACGGTGTTCAAGTCTGCTATATTTTGATGAAAAGATGGTTTACATTTGCGTGTAGTCTGATTTATCCATTTTACTTTACGGTCAGCATTTTGGGTCTTGGTTAGTAAGATTTCACCTGTCCCTTTTCGTAGTTGTTATTATTTTATCTTTGACATTCACAGTCTACCTTGGGCTGTTTTGTATGGTATTTTATTTAAGGATTTCTGTATGGTATTAAGGATGAAGAGTACTTTTTTATGTTGTTACTGCAAGTATCAGTCGACCCTGGTTGTTCTTGATTATTTTTTAAGGGGCAGCATGGTGCTTGGAGGTGCCCTTGATTCAGAGCCACGGTGGCAGCAGGCTGTGGGGGTGGGGGGGGGCGGGCAGGAGTTACCAAGGCTTGGCAGCTGCTGAGCCGATATCAGCCCCGCCCGAATGGCTTCCTCTTGGGCAGCCCCCCTCAATCATATTTTCGTAGGGATGGCACATGCGTGTCTCTTCCTTTAACTCTGGTGTCACCAGCAGGGGTTATGGAGGGAGGATAGTGACCCCAGGCCATGCATCTTCCTTCCGAGGATTCCGAACTTTGCCTGGGAGCTGCAGGGGTCCACTCTGACCTCCCTCTCAGGTGTCACCACCCCAGGCAGCCGGTTTTGGGCAAGAGGGTTACTTTTCTGTGTCAATTTGGCCAGGCTGTGGTGCCCAGCTGTTTGGTCAAATACCAGCCTCGCTGTTCCCGTGAGATTTTTTAGGTGTGCTTAACATTTCAATCAGTTGGCTTTGGATCACGGAGGTTGCCTCCATAACGTGGGTGAGGCTCATCCAATCAATCAGTTGAAGGCTTAAGAGAAAGGCCTGGGATGCCTGGGAAGGAAGGAGTCTCATGTTGGCGTGCTCCTGAGTCGCCAGCCCCCTCAGTAGCGTGAGCGAGTCTCTTAGACACGGCTGTGTTCCTCCCTGTCCCCATCCTAATAACGGGGGGCAGGGGCTAGTGGTTACAGCTGTGGCCTCATTTCACGGATGCTGCTCCTCCGTGGCAGCTTCTTGCCTGGCCGCTGCCCTCCATTATGAACGGTCCTAGGGCTCATCCTCAGGCAGCCGGCAAATGTGCTGGGTCCTGGGGCCCAAGGGAAAGGCCCTTTACTGTGGACTTTAGAGGACGGCGGCTTGGTTCAGGCCGCTCAGGGCTGGACTGTTGGTCGCCCGGGACGTGGTTGGGAACAACAGGCTTCGTGGATTTCCAGAAGTGGCATAAGGTTTCCCACGTGGCCGCTTGTAGGGAAAATGCGAATCAGGCGTGGGCCCAGCACCCCCCAAAATGCCTGCTTGCCCCCACCTGACGGGGGAGGAGACGGGGCCTCAGAGCGACCAGAAGCCGTGGCCCCCTGGGCCCCCCATCTTACTCACCCGTGGGCTGCTGTGGTACAGCGAGGGAGGCGGCCAAGGTTCGTACAAATCACTGTGGTTTAATAGTGAGGTGTTTCTGTGCCGTCTGCTCCCAGCCCGTCCTCGAGCCCAGGGCAGAGCTGGGGGGAAGGGGGGAGGCGGCCACACGGTGTCCTAAAAGGACCCCGCCGACGAGGGGCTGGGGAAGGGCCAGAGTCACGTAAAAATGGGATTTAGGGATTTTACACAGGTGCGGTCCACTAGATGTCTTCTGGGTGAGTCTGGGCTGGCTTGGCTCTGGAGAAGAATTTTTCACATAGTTTGAGGAGCTCTGACAAAATGAACACGGATGAGGCCAAGCCAGTTAAAAGCAACAAATCTGCCAAAAGGGGAAAGGAAAAAAGGGGTCAGAGAGCACAGGATGACCCCCGCCCGCCCACTTGCAGGAGCCTCGGCCCGGAGCTCCTTTTCCTCCATTTTGCCCTTAGTCACAGAGACCCCAGAGGTGAGCGGGGAGGACCCGGGAGCTGCGGACCAGACCTTTCCCTTCCCGGAAGCAGATCTCAACCCAGCGTGCACGATGCGGCAGAGCAAGCTCCACCACGACCTCCCTGTTTCCAGGTGGCTCCGGGCTTGGGGGTGGGGGGGGTGTCACCCACCTCAGCTAGAACAGGCCCCTCATCCTCCTCCCAACCATCGTGAGGGCAGATGCCCCAGCCCCTGCTTCGGGTGCCCCGGGCAGCCCTCCCTGACTCATTCCAGTGGGTCAATCCCTAGACCTTGCCCTGACCCCACAGAACCTTCCCTGGCTGCCCGTTGCCACCATTTCAGTACGAACATGGTGCCCATTGCCACTGGGGGCAGAAGGAGCCCAGACTTGCCCCCCACGGTACAGCCCCGGGGCCTTGCTGTATATGCTGTGAGCCGCCAGCCTTGGGACAAGGGGGCCAGGAGCCTGCGTCCCCTGCTGCCCTCGGTGGTCCTCCTGGCTGAGGTGCCTCTTCCTCTGGTTCCCCGTGTGCTCCTCCCGGACCACATCGCGCTCCCACTCCGTGCCCACCGCAGTGCGTAGGCAGAGAGGGGGGGCAGGTGCTGACCCCTCCCACTCACCCAGTGCACCCAGGTTCTCCGTCTGGAAGACCTTCTGCAGGGGCGGGATGTAAATCACGGCCAGCTGCCCCAGAATTGACCCCAGCACCGAGTACAGGAACATGGGGTTCCGGAGAAAACCGATCTCAAATATCAACTTGGTCTGCGGAGGAGGAGGACACGTGTTGGCTCAGCGCTTCTCACTGAGAAGAGGATTGGGTCCTGCAGGGAAGGGAGGAGAGGGCAGCCCGGGGCGCACCTGAGAGCGGCAGGTCAAGGCATTGAAGAGGTCGAAGAACACAAAGCAGGTGAAGGTCATGGTCGTGGTGCGTGGGGTGCTGGCCCTGTCCGCGGGGATCTGGAACACAAAGGCACGGGCTGAGCGGGTCCAGGAAGGCGGTGCGCTTCCCGCAATGAACTCGTCCTGAACCACCCCGCGGGGAGCACCCTTACTGGGAACGGACCGGAACCTCCCCTCGGGCTGGAAGCAGCTGCAGCAGGTGACACTGGTCTCAGGACCACCCCCCCATCAACCCCGACAGCTGGGGGGGGCCAGCAGCCCTCCCTCAGGAATTTCGGCTGCCTCCCACACCCGAGCCGAAACCCTGCGCAGAGAAAGGGAACGTCCCTTCCTCCAGTAGGTGACCTGGTCTCCTGGGAGGGGACAGTGCTACAGCCCCTGAGCAGAACATCCCTTCCCAGAGGAAGGTAGGGGACGGAGATCCTCCCTGGCTTGCGCACTGCTGCTCAGGACCTGAGGCAGGTCTCATTCCCCTTGACATCTCAGGGCCGGGCCTGGAGCCGCAGGTGAGAGGGACGCACGTTCTCCCCCGCACTTCCCCCCCGCACTTCCCCCTGCCTGTGGGAGGTGGAGGTGAGCCCTCCCTGCCTGGGCTTGTCGGCTGGACCACGATTCTCGGCAGACTCCCCAGGTTGGGGGGCGGGGGGTGGCGCATGTGAGTTAGAGCCCGACTCCGGAGTCCTGGTGGAGGCCCAAGGTCCCGGAGAGGTGGAGGCTGCTGTGGGGACCCTATGCTGAGGGCCACTCTGTGAGCCCAGGAGGGCCTGGGTCCCTGTCCCCACCAGGTGGAGCACACAGGCTGGAGGAAGGGGAGGCCTCACCTGCTTGGCAGGTGAGAATTTGGGAAAAAGCAAGGCTGCTCCTCTGGAGAAAAACTGAGAACCTGTGGGGGACCCCGTCCCTCTTGTTGCACGTGGCAACAAGTTCTCCAGCCAGAGCACTGCATGTTGGCACGGAGGCCACCAACAGGTGACCCATAAGTTCCTGCAAATACTCCCCTCCAGGGAATAAACTTCCTTTCAGTAAATTTCAAATTGTTGCCGTGAGAACAGAAAGCAGCTTCGGGTCCCATTTAGAATAAAATCTCATTTCTTTTCCACGCCTGGGAGGCCTCATATCCTCCAGCCCATCCCCCCTCTGTGGTCAGCTCCGGGTCCCCTGTCTTCCCTCGCTGACAGCCCCCTGTGCGTGTACACGTGTCTCCCCCCCTCGGAGCCTGTGCCCCACGGCCGGGCAGGGACTGTCCACACCCCCGGCCCCGAGTCTCCTACCTCAGGGGCTTAGCGAATACCGGCTTAATGAGTCAGGGAGGACTTGCCTCACCTCTTTCCAGAAGATAAAGAGGGTCCCGCTGATGATGACGGCAGCCGACAGGAGGATCTTGAGGATGAGGGCTCTACCAAGAATGGTGTCCTTGACGTTCCGTGGGGGCTGCTGGAGGGTGTCTCTGTCCACCGGCTCTACCCCCAAGCTGCTCGGAACAAGACGTGGGGCGCCCTGAAGTAAACCACTGAGAAGGGTCACTTCAGACAGCCGGGCAGTGGCTGAACAAGCGCATCTGGAGCGGAGCACGATCCTTCCAGGCTCTCTGGTCAGCCTCGCAGGCACAGCGGGGGTGTGGGGAGCTGGGGCCCAGCGCCTCCAGGCTGTCCACGCAAGCCGGGGCCCTCTGTCCGCACTGGAAGCCTCCCCTCACACCCTCTGCCCCCTCCCTAACAGCCCAGCCCCTTCCATGGTGCCCACCCCCCCGCTCCGGTCTGGGCCCCACGGGCAGCCCTCCCCTCCCCCATCCCTGAGCTCAAAGAAAACCTCCCCCAGGGCCGGCCACACCACGGTCCTGGAACCACCCCGGGTTCCCCCAGCGGGCTGGAGAAATGGGATCCACCACAGAGCCCCCCACTGATGGAGCAGACTGTAAAACAGCGGTGGGGGGGGCACTGGGGGGGACCCCGCTTCACTCCTGGCACTATTCCCAGCATAGAAAGAGGACTCTTGCCCTTGGCAGCTGTAACTGGTGATATTGAATTAATATTAGTAACATATGTAATATGTATCAAATATAATCAGATGAAACGGCACACACTGTGCCTCCCCTGCTCGTGGAGGTCATTCTTTCTCCTGCACCATTCGGCTAGCCTAACACTCCCTTCTGATCCATCCATCCAACAAATAACTCATTGACCAGCTACTGTGTGCCAAGCACAATTCTAGGAGCTGGGGATACTGTAGGGAACAAAACCACAAACCTTGCCCAAGGGGAGACAGATCTTAATCAGATAAGCAAGGACATACGTGTATATTTTCTCCCCTAGGGAAATATAAAGCAGGGAGGTGAATGAGAGCCAGGAGGCTGCTGTTAGAGTAATCAGGGAGGACTTCCTGGAGGCGGTGACCTGAAGAGAGGGGCTGAGCCCTGGAGCTGCACAGGGACAGCAACCCCCACTGACCCTGGCTGCGCACACAGGCGCTTCCTCCCATGCCTAGGGCATGCCGCTGGCCATCTTCCTCCCTAGGACTCCTGGGGACAGTGACTGTGTTTGCACCCACACTCTGTGCAGGGGCCCGAGGCTGCAGCGGGGGGCAGCCTGGTGGAAATGGCACAGTTTCCCAGCCAGCCCGGAGCCTCACCTCTGTGCTGGTGGCCCGTCCATGATGATGTTGATCCACAGGATCTGCATGGCGTTGAGGGGGCTGGGCAGGTTGCACACAGTGGACAGAGTGATGAGGCTCAAGGCTGAGATGCTCCTGTGGGGCACACACAGGGGACGGTCGATGGCTGCTTGCCAGATGGGCGCGCAGCACCTTACGGCACTGGGGGCCGCTGGCCTGGACTTACGTGCTCAGCTGGAACCGGACGAAGTTTTTGATGTTATGAAAAATCCCCTTGCCTTCCTCCACCGCATTCCTGCGAGAGAGGACAAAGTGTTTATGCACAAAGATGGGCCCAGCGGAAAGGTTCGGGCGCCTGCGTTAGCGGCGACAGGAAGCGATGGCGTCACCAGAGATGGCCTCGTGCCTGGGCACCACTTCCTGTTTGCCCTCCTGCTCCAGGCCATGCCCGCGGAGGAGGTCCTGACCGGCACCCTCGGGCGCTCCCACCCCCAATTACTTCAATTATGAGGAAAGACTTAACTAGAATGGATTAAAATTAGATCTAGAGGGCAGGCAATTTTTTTTTAAGAAAACAGAAAAAAGTGAAGAGAACAGGTGCTCTGTCATCCTGGCAGCTCGAGATCACATCAGCGACACAGACATTCCTGCCTCGTCTCCATCAACGCATGAAACGTCCGTGTCGGTGCAAACACGACCCCAGACTCAAACCACGCACATTCACTTTCAGTGATTGTTACTTAACACTACAGCGTGGCATTACTGTGTCTTTGATACATCCCTCAAAACATCATTCTCAATAGCGTCGGGGTCCTCCTGCTCTCGCTGTCGGCAGCCAGGGCGGTCTAGGATTTCCGCATAAACGCTGCAACGACCGCACGGGCGTGCGCCTCCATCCGCCCACCTGACCCCGGCTTTCCCGCCAGATGCGCCCTCGGGCTGCAAGTAGCGTCTGCTGCACGTGTTTGTAGCATCCCCCCCAGGTGCTGTTGGGCCTGGGACACCCAGATCCCTAGCAGAACAGATTTGGGGGATGGGCAGCTGCTTACGCCAGGCATTTCTGCCACTAAAAAACGAAACGAAACACCTACGGAGCAACTTACATGATGGCTGAGAAGTCATCGTCCACGAGGATCATGTTGGCAGCCTCTTTGCTAACGTCTGTGCCCGTCTGCCCCATGGCAATCCCGATGTCCGCGGACTTCAGGGCGACCGCATCATTCACCCCGTCCCCTGTCATGGCCACGATCGCCCCCCATTCCTGCAAAGCCTTGGTAAGGAAGAGGTGAGTGGAGGCTGCAGCCCTTCCAGAACCTTGCTTCCCTCGGGATGCTCTGCCTCTCCCACCGCATGGCCAACAGCAGAAGCCCCTCTCTCGAGTCAGCTGGTTGGAGTCTGAATCCCAGCCCCACCTGCACCAGCTGTGGGAACTGGGCAAGCCCTGAACCCCTCAACCTCAGCTTCTCCGTCAGCAAAGTGGGGGCAACTGTCCCTCCTCCTCCGAGAGCTACACTAAGACCGCGGGTGTGAGGCTCATGCGTGTTATCCATCTCCATTAACAAAGAAAAGTCACCAGACCCCTGAAACCACACGGTGCCCAGTAAGTACTAATGTTTTCTCTTAGGAATACCGTGCATGGAGATTTGCTCCCGAGAACTAAAACCCCCCCAAATAGCATAAAGGATAAAACAGCCCGGAGCTACAGAGCACATCTTCAAAGCGCGTACAGGTGGGAGGCCGAGCACAGCGGCAGGGCCCTCCTCCCTGCACGACAGAAAACCACATCATTCTCTGCTGGGCACCCGCTGTCTGCCAGGCGCTGCGCAAGGCACTCCAAGGCCTGGCCTCCTCTAGTCCTCTCACCAGCCTTGTGAATTAGCTGACATCATTCAAACCTTCATTCCCCCGTTTACAGATGGGGAAACTGAGGCCTGGAGGTAAGTAATGAGAACGATGCCAAAGAGCACTCGGTTAACAGAGGCTAGCTGCTTTTTATTTTTCTCTCTGCACCACCCAATCCCTGCTCCTGTTTTTGGTGTACGTGGCAAAGATCCCCCTGTTCTCCTCCTGCCAGTTTGAGGACGGCTGAGGCTCCCGCCAGATTGAGCCCTGGACCAGCCCTGGAGCAGAACCCCCCATCGTCCTGGACTGACTCTAACAGACAAATGAGGCACCCAGCTTACCTTTATGATTTTGAGCTTGTGCTTTGGGCTGGTCCTGAAGAAGACAGATACCTGGACACAGAGGTGCAGAAGAGCAGAATCCATGAACTTGGAGCTGAAACTCCCCCCCGCCCCCGCAACGAGACGCCCTGGGAGGAACCCACCTTTCTGACGCGGTCAGTCAGCTCTTCCTGCTCCATACTGTCCACCTCTTCCCCGGACATGGCTCTCAGCTTCCCGTTGCAAAGGCCGATGTTCCTTCCTGCACGGTGCCGAAAATCCATTCTGAGCACTTGCTCCCAAGCCTGAGACCGCTCCTGTGCCCACCCCTCACTGCACCTGCCTGCCCCCCAGTCCCTGCCTGGGCCACAGAGAATGATGAGAAAACCATGATGACATCATGCACTGAGCACCTGCCCTGTCACAAGATCTCAATGCCATCCACGCAATTAACTTGCAACAGAGGCCTTGTTATCCCTTCTTTAAAGGCGAGGAAAGGGAGGGCAGGGACTTCCCCAAGGTCACAGAGCTGGTGAGGGCTGATGCTGGAACCAGATATGGTTTTGTCTGATTCTGGAGCCTCTAATCTTTTCTCGGGGCCGGGTGCCTTGAGACAGGGCGGGGAGCCGACCAAGGTATGATGCCCTCATTATGGTAGTAAGTAGAATGAGAGGAGGAGGGCTACTGGCCCTCTGCGGGCGAAGAGCCTGGAGGTCAGAGGGGCTCAATAACCTGTGGGCACACGGCACGCGGCAGAAGCCAGCCCAGAAGTGAACACGGGGAATGCCGCTGCCTGGGAAGAGGGTGTGAGCTCGGGGATAAAGGCCCCCAGCACGCGGGAGGTTGTCAGCGGGCACTAAGGCTCTGCCCCCTTTGGAGGATCTGCTGACATTTTAGGGCCAACCGTGTGAAGGTGGAGCGCTGGTCCTCGAAGCTCACAGTCCCGACGAGGACCCGCTGGCCGCCCGCCCTCCCCGCTTACCTATGGCGGAGGCGGTCTCCAGGCCGTCGCCCGTTATCATCTTCACCGACACGCCCGACTGACAGAGCACCTGCACCGCTTCCTTCACTCCAGTCCTCGGAGGGTCGATGATCCCGACGAGCCCCAGGAAAGTCAGCCTCCCCAGCTCGGGCCCAGAGGCCAGGGCCAGCACTGAGGAGACACCAAGAGCCACAGAGGGTCCACTGGGGGCCGAGGGCCAGGAAGTTCCCAGGCAGCCCGGCCCCTCCGCATCCCAGATCCTCCTCTGCCTGCGCGGGGCTCCCCGGGGCTCTGGATGGCTGGCCCCAAGGTAGAGAGAAATGTAGAGACAACCTGACCGGCAGAAAGTAAGACTTTTGTCCGCTGGTGGCGTAAATCCCAACCACACCCCAACCAGAGGGACCAGAATGAAATCTGCGAGCTGGCATGCGATGGCACGGTCCCAACGGCTCTTCTGGTCTCTGCTGTTGCCACCTGCCCTTTTAGGGGAGCAGCTGCAGGGGAAGAAAAGGTGCAGGAGGGCACTATGGGGTACAGGCTGTCTGCTGGCTTGTCCTGGCCTTGACTCCGGGGTCCAGTGCTCCCAGAGGGGGTGTTGTGAGAATGACCTTACTTTGTCACCTTCCTGATACTGGAGGGGCCGTGGTACCCTTCCTCCCTTTCCCAAAGCTACCCTCCCCGCCCTGCTCGGCTCCATCTCAGCAGACCGGGACATCCTCACTTTGTACGCTTGTCCGCAAGCTGCTAGCAATTTATCATGTCTCTTTCCTGAAGGGAAAAACCAAGGCAACTGGCACCCAGCCCAAAGCTTCTTATTGTCCCCAGAGAGAGAAGACAAGGGTTCCAGAGTGTTTTTAAATACTTCCTCTGACAATGGACAGGCTGACAAACAGCGCTCTGGGAAACATGAGCTTTCATGTTCAGCTCATCAGGGGAGGCGTTGCCCCTGGTGCGGAAAACTGGAAATGGCCAAGGAATGAAATGTCTGCCTTGATTTCAAAGAGCTTTGGATTTTCCTGATGGTAAGCAATGAGCAAGAAGACCAATCAGGAAAATCAGTGTTTCCGGTACACCTCATTCATCTGTCTTAGAAATGTCAGCAGGGAGGCACCAGCCTTTCTCACACACATGAGCGGCGTCCGGACTAACTGGTGTCATTTGGTGGCTGGGCTTGCGGGGGGGGGGGGGGGGCGGCTGTCTTTCATCTGCCCATCGATTCCACGTTTGCTTTACTTTCATTAGCACACCGCCCGACTGCTGTTCTGATCAATCCCCTTACTAAGAACCCTGCATCAATGCACTTGAAAAGTCAGTGGTGCACTTGAACTTAAAGCTCGGGGCTGGGGACCAAAGGTACTGACCACGCAGGCCAAGCGACCCCATCCTCCTCTCCTCCTGCTGGCAGAAGGATCTCTGCTGGGGGGTCAGTGAAAGGGGGATGCCTCCGGAGTTGTACATGGTACAGTAATTAATCACTTCTTCAAAGGCCCCCTTCATGAAGTAAATGTCTTCCTGGTCCTTGGAAAAGAAAAAAAGTCCGCTGTCATTGGATGCTTCAGCTCTTGGTGACCGTCACCTCGTGCACACAGCGATGCTCACGGCGGGGCTCTTTCTGGTGGACCGTTACTGCTCACCAATACAGGACGGGTTAGATCAATCACAGGAAAGCCACATGACAGAATACCACACAGCCCGTGGAAGGACTGAGGCGGATCCTTGATCCCTGTTAAGGCCAGCGCGTGTCCTGAACCCGGCATAGCCCAGGCCCCGTTACACCTGTGTGTGCGGGACTGCATGCTAGAGGTCGATTTAACGGGCACGTACCGTTTCACCGCCGCACATGGCTCATAAAAGGGAACCTAAAGCCCCTGTTTTCCTGTGTGTTTAAGCTCCGTCTCCGGTAGATGGTAAGCTCTGTGCAGAAGGCGCTGTGCCACTGTGAGTCACACTCTGTCCCCGGCATTAGCACTGAGCCTGAGTGCCCACGGCGGGCAGGAATGAGCTCGTATGAGCTCATACAGAAAGGTGTCTAAGACGTCACCGTAAGGGGAAAAAAAGCAAATTACAAACACTATCTACAGCACGGCCTAGTTTTAAAACTACCACCCCATATGTTGCCATGTGCATATTTAGAACCTGGAATATTCCATCCCAGACTGCTGGGCGGGGGGTTGGGGGGGGTGGGGGTGGTGATGGGTCAGGAGAGAAGAGGGGCAGAATTGTAAGGAGCTCCCATTTTTAAAGTTACACTTCCATAATTTATTTCAATGAGAATATATTACTATTGTCTTTGGAGGAAAAAAAAAGATTTGAAGGTATTAAAACATTAAAAAAATCTGTAACCCCTTTTAAGCAGAGAGGATTTGTACACCCATCTACTCATGGCAAAGGCCTGGAACGCGCTGGCCAAGCCGCCCACTGCCCTGAACAACAGAGGAGGAATCTCAGCACGAGCAAGATGTGACAGGTTCCAGAAAGAATAGGAGAGAAGTAAAGGGCTGGAGAAAAAGGTGGAAAGCAATACAAACAAACTTCTTAAAAAACCCTTTTACTGTAGAAGATCTGAAAAGCTACAGAAGGTTAAAAAAGAAAAGGGAAAAAGAAGTCAGCTGTCATCCCCACGCAGGGTTAGCCATGAGGAGTTTGGTGCATGTTCCTCTGGTCACTCAAACCAGGTGCACACACATGCACGTGTCTATATGCACCCATGTGATGCGTGAGCTCACTGTTCACACCATCTGTGCTGCGTGCTGGGATGCACCTCCTGATCCCCCTTCAGGAGGGAAGGACTGTCCCCACCTGGTGATGATCAAAGGTGCTCATACCTGTAAAGAACTCGGCACCAGGATGTGAAGAAAGGACCCCCAAGGTAGCAAGGGGGGGTCACTGTCAATGGTAGGAGCATGCATCAAAATTCCCAGCAAACACAGGTTACTGGCTCTACTCCTGATTTTCTTTTTAAAGATTTTCTTTCTTTCTTTCTCCTTCCTTTCTTTTTTTTTTTTCTTTCTTTGTTTCTCTCTTTCTCTCGTTATTTATTTGAGAGAGAGAAAGATTGCGAGCAGGGTGAGAAGCGGAGGGGGGAGAGAGGGGAAAGAATCTCAAGCAGACTGCGCTCAGTGAGGAGCCTGACAGAGGACTCGAACTCATAACCTTGAGATCATGATCTGAGCCAAAACCGAGAGTCAGATGCTTGACCGAGGAACCACCCAGGCGCCACGCACTCCTGATATTTCTGACTCTGAGGTTCTGGGTGGAGCCTGAGAATCTGCATTTTTAACAAATTCCCAGGGGATGCTGCTGGTCCAGGAACCCCACTCTGAGAACTACTGTTTCAGACAAAAATCTCAGAAGAGAACCCAAGATAATCAACGATCTAATTGCTATCAAATGTATTTTCATGTATTTGAAACTTCATAGAATCTAGGAGCTTTAAACTCTCCTCCTTGATGCCTGCATTTTCGTTCCTTTGGGGTGTAGGAGAGAGGGTGGGAAGGGGCAGAGAAGCAAACTCACCTCGTTCTTGGGGCTGCATTTTACTGCCATCCATTTCTGCTCCGAACTGAATGGAATCTCTTTTTTTCTCACGTATGAATCTTTAATATCACTTAAGTCCATCTAGGATAATAACATGCAAGCTTCCAGAAAGTCATCCTAAACCAATCTCTATGCAAAGCTCAGTCCACTTAAATTATTCATGATTCAAACCATTTCCAGCAGATGAGAAATCCAAGCTCACAGAGAAAGGCCATTTGCTTTCAAATGAAATGTCCCACTCAGAGAAAAAAGGTCTCGTTTCTCTTGTTCAGGGACAGAACCAGCTTGGTCTTCGCGATAGCTTCTGGCACCCCACCCCACTGCCCACCGCTTCGGCATCCAGGGGTAGCCATTCTGCACGTGGCACTGGGCACAGAATGGGGGCATTTCTGCCAAGTCCCAGATTCAGGGTCTGACCTCAGAGCCCTGCAATCAGTAGAATGAGCTAAAAGGAAGGGGTCTTTCCTGGAGGGGGGCTCGGGGGCCACCAGGTGGGTTGCATTCCTCTGTCTCCCCAGCACCTCCATGGGATCTGAGCCACAGGGCACCCGAGGATTCGTATGGGATTGCCAGGAAGGGTGGCATGGAGAATGTTCCAGAACCACGTGGCATGTCAGTGACTGTCCGAGGACATTTGAGGGCACTCTCTCCCGTTATTACTAAGCTTCCCCATTCCTCATCTGCTCAGACACGAGCTCGAATTCTGCCACTAATTCAGCCCCAAGGGCAAGAACTCCCGGTGCAGACCATCAGAGGGTCCCTACCTTCATGGCCAGGGCGACCAACGCACCTTCCGTGGGCTGTCCCATCACGGCGTTTTTTCTGATGATGGCGTTGTTGGCCACACAGCCTGCCTGAAAGGGGGGATTTCCGGATGTCTGTAGTTAATATTTGGAGCTGGCACCCCTTGGGGTCCTGGGCTCACTCATCCATGTGAAAAAGTCACATGCTGAAGGCGTGACCTATTTTGGGGGCGGGGGTTGGGGTGAGGGTGAGGGACAAGATTTACTCTTCAAAGTACATTGGAGTCCCCGCTCTTCAAAAGAAACACCGTAAATATTTACTGATTCCGCTGAGCGCTGGTTGTCACGAGGCCCTTGTAAGGCGGTATCATGGGGGGCGGGGAGGCTGGGGAGATGGGGTGACCGCTAACGGGTACGGGTTCCCGCTTGGGGTGACGAACTGTCCTGAAATTAGATGCAGCAGTGGCTGCCCAACTTTGTGAATGTACTAAGGCCACTGAGCTAGTATGCTTTAAAGGGGTGAATTCTGTGCTATAGGACTTACATCTCGATAAAAAATGATAACAAACAAAAAAAAGAAACACGCACACAAAAAGAGCGTGGGGCTGAATCCCGGCTCCCTCCCTCCCTGGCTGGGTGATCCCGGACACTCTCGTCACCTCCGTGAGCCCGTGAGACAACATCTCGATCCGGACCTCGGAGGGCACCCGGCGTGGGGGAGGCACGAGTCCGGCTAATATTGCTCATATCGACAACGCAACCAGGCTCACTGTCCCACATTCGCTGAGTACCTTCTCTAGGCAGGTGTCTCTTTAAAGCCTTTCCAGCAGGTAGGGAGGAGGACAGAGAATATAGCTCTTCTCTCACCTCCAGGGTCTCCACCCGTTTCTGGGCCACTGGGACACCTGACCCCCGGGGGTGTGGCCCAGGTGTCACCGAGAGCCAGCTGGCCCTGTCTTCAGGGCGAATCCCCATCAGTTCCTCCTAAATGCGTATTTCCACAGTGGGGCTTTTGACACTCACCTCTACTAATTTCCCCACTGAGACGCTGCTGAACTCCTTAATGACTTCCTTTGAGGGTAACAGACAGACGGTCCCTTTGCCGTTATACCCCACTCCGCTGACCTGCAAGGCAAAGCCGCAGAGAGGATGTCACCACGCGTCAATAAGACCCTCCGCCCCGGGCTGTCCCCTCATCTCTTTTCTGGGGGACCCACCCCAGGGACAGACTCCTACCCACAAACAAGGCTTTAAGCATGAGGATGTTCCCTGCGCATTTATTCATCAGAAAACCTCAAAAAGGGCCATGCTTTAGAAACTGCAGAAAGCTTCCTCACCGGGATATTCAGCAGCCAGGGAAAACTGCTTCAGAAAACGAAGTGCTAGCACAGAAGGGAGCTTCCGTTCTAGCACAGAGGGAGGCAAACCTTCCCCAGGGAGCCAGAGCGCGGACGTGTAAGCCTTTGCAGCCCAGGGGTCTGCCAGGACCACGCTGCCCTGTGGCTGGGGCACAAAGGGAGCCGGCGACGGACAACACGTAAACCACAGGGCTTGCCAGCCGGCCGGCCACATTCCACTTACAAACACGCGCCCTGGCCCGTGAGAGGTCACTGCTGACACCTTAGTCTGGAAGTTCTGTGAAAAACCCCGCAGGATACACAAGCACGTTCCGGGGGCTTGCGACCGAGCCAGAGGCACAGGGGAGAGACTGAAAAACCCCGAGGGACCGTCATGGTCAGTTCATCACAGGCCGCTACGGGCAACTGCTTCTTTGCTTCTACGTCATGTAACGAGCTTATTATTAAAAGATCATGGCAAAAAAATAAAGTGGGCTCCCTTAACTCGGTCACGTTCCTTGCTGCTGTTTGTACCAAGCAAACTGTACAATAACCCATTTTTGTCTCTTCCTTATTGCTTTCTAGAAGGTTCCATGTACTTTTAGGAAGGAAAAGGTCCGCGGCACGGGGCTCACCTCAGCATGGAGCCCATCGGACGTCACCAGCTGGGTGACGGTCATCTCGTTGGCGGTCAGCGTCCCTGTCTTATCCGAACAGATGACGCTGCAGCAACCTGGCACAAGGCAACCCCCGTTCAGAGGACAGAGAACCCATCACTGTTCGTCCTCAGGCTAATGAAATAGCCCGGCCGAACGACCACTCCTTCAGTCCCATTTACAAGATTCCAACCAGCAAAGTCCCTTACCTAAGGTCTCCACGATTGGTAACTTCTTCACGATGACGCGCTTCTTGGCCATCCGCAGCACTCCCAGGACCAGCGTAACCGTGACGACGATAGGCAGACCCTCGGGAATGGCAGCCACAGCCAGGCTGGATCAAAAGGCCAGATGGATCACCTTTCACACATGCACTGAAGGAGGACATGAATCCCAACTGCGGTCGCCAACACTTTGACCCGGTGAGGCATGTCTCTGGTGTCCCCCACGTCCCCGTTCTAGTCTCTGTTCCCAATCCCATGATGCACCCGTCTCCTCCAGCATCCACGGCTCTGAGTTCTCCTGTTGCAAAACCCTGCTCTTGGGAACGGACCTCCCCTATCAGACATCCACACTATAGCATAAATTAGTCCCTCAGTTGTTTTGCCTCTTAAAGCACTTTTGCACTTAAATTACTGTCGTTTATTAGAGAGAAAGGCCTTTGGGTCCTATGAAAGGAATTTCCAGAATTAGGCAGTAAGTGGGAAGTGGAATTTTTTGGTTCAGAGGATCCTCCCTGACTCCCCTGATTTTCACTTTTCACTGGTCTAGTTGTTTAGACACTTCTGATAAGGAAGCCAAACAAGGAAATTAAGGTTGAAGGGAGGTAGTGTGACAAAGCTGTGCCTTTGACAATTGTAGCAGAGCCATTTGGGTGTCCGTTCGTTTCATCATTATCCCTCCAACTCTTTCTGTACCATGTGACCCCACCCTCACATAGCCACGGCTGATTGGTTTAGAGACAACATGTGACCCCAGCTGAACCAGTGAGCTTCTCTCTCGGGAAACTGAATTGGGATAAAGAGGGTGGATCCCTTCTTGTGGGAGGTGTGTCCGCAGGTGATGGGATGTTAAGGCGGGGCTCTTTCTGCCTCAGATTTGGTTCCAGAACATCATGGCGGACTGATTCCCCATTCCACACCCCTGAGCAGGTGTGGATGAGGCGAAGGGCTGGAGTGGGGCTTCCGGCTGACCTCAGGCCAGTGGGGGAGGCTGAAGAGTTTTGGGGCCAGGCTGGAGAGGGTGCCTCTGTGCAGAGCTGTGGGTGAACGCGGCCAGCCACACCCCACCACGGCTCACCCTCTGCACCAGCACATCCAGCAAAGCCCCGTAGGCATTCAGCAAATATATGCTGGACAAACAGATAGGAATGAGTGAATACAGGTATGCCTCACAGGCACTGTGGGTTCAGCTCCAGACCCTCGCAATAAAGCGACCGTCCCAATACAGCAAGTCGGATGAACCTTTTGGTCCCCAGTGGCCATAAACGTTATACGTTTATATTGCACTGTCATCTATTAAGTGTACAAGAGCACCATGTCTAAAAACCCAATGTGTAGAATTTAATTTAAAAATACTTTATTGCTAAAAACTGCTGCCAATCACCTGAGCTTTCAGCACACCGGGTCACTGATCACAGATCGCCATAAAAAATAATGACAATGAAAACATCTCAGATATTGCGAGAATTACCAAAATATGACAGAGATGTGAAATGACCTAATACTATTGGGAAAAATGGCCCAATGGACTTGTTCAACACAGGCATGCTACAGACCTTGACATGGTGAAAAATGCAGGATCTGCAAAGCACCATAAAACGAGGGACGCCTGCACACATAGAGCACGGGGCGAGAGCCGCGCCGGCCCAGCACACAGCGAGCATTCTACGGGCTTGCCTCAGCGTCAGAAAGCCTGGCTGCGTTGCACATGGCTATCCTATTTCATCTAAGCTAAGACACGGCTGATGGTGAAGGGGCCCATTGTCTGCGTACCACTGAGAAAAAATGCTGCCAGTTATTTAAACACAGGGTGCTCTCTTATCTCCTCATTTGTAAGAAGCAGTCTGTCCTGAGAGAAGTGTGAAAAAAGAAAGTGCGTCTTAGAATCAAAGAAATACCGTACATGAATCGTGGCCTTTTCCCTGGCAACAATGGAACATTCAGGGGCAAGTTCTACGAACCAAGATTACTGAATTTGGTCAAGGGACTGTGCCCAGTTTCTATGGTGACAGCAAGAAGGCTTCCTTGGTTTTATGGCAGAGGTTGACAAGACCAGCTAAGCAAACATTTGCAGAGGGCTAGGACGAGGACTTCCCCCCATGTGGTGTGGGAAGGGCGTTTTTACATGTACTTGGACGCTTGCATGATAATAAAAAATTAATCCACAAAGTAGTAAAGATTAGCATGGGCCAGGAAAAGCGAGTATACTGTGGAGCATCTTGAATGTCACTTGAGGCAGAGGGAATTAGGATAAACTGTTTAAAAGAACAATTCTCAAGTTACTTCTTTTGGAGAATCTCTTCCTCACTAGCTATCTTGCTATTTCTACCTTCTGAGTCAGTGATTTCGAGCAGCTGACTCCACTAAAAATGTTCATCTTTGCAAAGTCACAAGTGAAACGGACAGAGTAAATTTTCTCTGGATGGCAAGCGTACCATGGATCTAGTGGGAGAAGTGAGAGGGAAGGGACATCGAGACCTGGAACCAGAAGGGACCAGCAAATGGTACTGGGAAGGGCAGGCAGGGAGGGTCATGGAGGCCTTTTCTGTTACTTACTTGGAAATACTGAATAGTCATCTTGGCTCATAAAGAATTTTCTATGGTTTTTAAGGTGGGAATGGAATGTGCCATTATTTGGGGGACATTCTTAGGTGTCACGGCTTCTGAGTGCTCTGCTTTTTCTGGTAGTCCGCCCCAGGGCTCAGGCTCCTCTGTCCCTGCCCCACCACACCTGCCTCTGAAGGCTTAGTCACCTGAGCACTCTTGTCAGGGGCTCAACCTTCTTCCCTGGCCCTGCCTCTTGCAGTGGGCCACCACTTAGAGCAGCATTGGCACCCCGGAGAGCTTGTCAGGAATGCAGAGTCTCAGCTTCTCCCCACCCGCCCCAGACCCACCAAATCAGGGCACCAGTGATTGGTGAGCAAACTTTCGTCCTCAGGCTAATTCTGGAGACCCCTACTCTACACTGACCCACTCTTCCAGGATGCGCGTCCTGGCCTCGAAACCCACATTCCACAGCCAGCTCCCCGTGCCCCCGGAGCCCCCTCTCGGCTGCAGCCAGCTAGGGCTCACAGCCCTGTCACCTCCTGTGTCTATGTCAAGAACGGCCAACACGTTTCCAAAACAAGAGTAGCGATGGCCCAGCATGCCATGTGGAGGGCTCGGATGATGTTTTTTAGAATCAGGAGTAAAGGGACCCATAAGCGGCTGGCGCTATGTGCCCTACCCAACTCCACTGTGTGGTTCTGCTCGTGGAGCCCAGCCAGTCCCTCCTGGTGTCCCCAGAGGCCCCCAGCTCAGTCCCACCCCCCACCGTGGTGGGACCCTCCCCGCTGAACCCCCTTCCTGCCTTCTCGAGCAGGCTCCTCCTCATCTCCCACCCCTCAGAGCACCTTCCCCGGCCACCCTTCCAGGACAGGTCTCTTCCTGCCCCCCTTCTACTCTCTCTGCAGCTTTTTCCTCTGTAGCCTTGACTGTGAGCTATGATTATCTTATCAACGTTCGCTTGACTCGTTCACACTTACTCTCCCCATCAGCCCGCAAACTCTGATCTGGCTCCATCACCCTGGGTCAACAGGCGCTAAACGAGTATCTGCAGGGCCAAGGCCAGTGGCCGGGGGGCCAGCTAGGGGGTGGTGGTATGCGGGAGAGTTCCTGCCCTGCCCCAGAGGCCGCGCGCGAGGGCACCGCTGTGCGGGGTAGGCCAGCCTCCCCTCTGTTTAGGCCAACACACTTGCCCAGAGCCACAGAATCAGCTAGCAGAAGAGACAGGCTTCAAACAAACCCACAGCATTCTGACCCAGGGCCAGGGTCCTGCTCCCCCATTGGCCCACCTTCCCCGCCACCCTGGCGAGGCGAGGTCGGCGCCGTGCCCTTACCTGACCCCGATCGTGAACATGCTGAGGAGCTGCTTCCCTTGCAGCCAGCCAGTGAACATGATCAAGCCTGGGGAAGAGACAAGAAGTGTATGTACGCACACACGTGCACACGTGTACGTCCTCGGACATGCAAACGTGTTTCCAACTCATTCCCTTAAGAGTTTCAGGAATAGATGCATAAGGTGACGAGTAAGAACCTCAAGTATTGTAACCACTCTCCTGTTTCTTAAGACCTTCCACACCTGCAAAAAAGAATGGTTTCACTTTCTCAGGCAAGGACCAAGCCAGTTCAAGAAGGAAATGATCAGCCAGTTAGTTCCTCTCGGGCTGTTTGCAAATGTTTACAGGTGATCCCCGTGCTCTCCCCAGGTGCCCCACGTGTGGGGACGCCCCCACGGTGTGGGATGTGGCAGCTGACGTGCTCCTGCTGACGGGCACATGGGCCTGTTGCTTACAGGACTTGCCAGAGAGGGACCCTCGGGTCAGAGAAGGGGCGCGAGTCACGCTGGGACCCATGAAAATGCACAGGACGTTCCGGCAATGGGGAGAAGTTCTGGGGCCGCCAGGTGCGGCCTCAGTGTCTGGATCTGTAAGGTGGGGATAATGACCATGTCTCCCTCGAGGAGTTGGTTCAGGATTTAAGAGGCAACAATCCCCTCCAAGTGCTCAGCACAGCTCCTGAGGGCTGATATTGCCTTTGCGGTCGAAAGAGGCGGGAAGGTGAGCGGAGTCGCCTGCTTGAGCCTCGGAGGACCTGCCAAGGAACAGCAGCTTCACGTCACAGGGAATGGGGAGCAAGGGCAGGTTCTGTGCTGGGTGACAGCTCTGTGTGTGTACGTGTGTAGGGTTGTGTGTGTGTTGGGGGGCAGCGTCACGAGACCTGATTTGTTAGGGTTTTTTTCCATACAGTAATTAGTGGTGGTAGGCAAATGAAATCTCAGCTGGAACCCAAATGAATCCAGATGCAGAGACTGGACGGACAACTCTATTAGAAATAGGGGTGGGGTGCTGAGCCTGCAGCCCCAGGCACTGGGCCCCGACCCCGCCCTGAAGGCCCCTGCCGGAAGCTGGAGCATGCGCACGGGACCCCCAAGGGCTGGCGCGGCGCATCTCTTCCCGAACCCACACTCAGTGACTTCAGTACATGGGTGGTTTGAAAGTGGCCATGTGGAGGGTATTTACACCATGGAGCCTGGCAAACGTTCCTCTCCTGGAAAAGTCGGTTTTTTTTTTAAAGATTTTATTTATTTATTTGAGAGAGAGAGAATGAAAGACAGAGAGCATGAGAGGGAGGAGGGTCAGAGGGAGAAGCAGACTCCCCGCTGAGCACGGAGCCCGATGCGGGACTGGATCCCGGGACTCCAGGATCATGACCTGAGCCGAAGGCAGTCGCTTAACCAACTGAGCCACCCAGGCGCCCCGAAAAGTCGGTTCTTAAGCACTGACCAGCCCACCACAGCTTCCCTGCATCTCCCCTCTGGGCCCTGCAGGGATCAGTGGAACCCAGTTCCAAAACGCTAGAGCAGCTCTTAAAATATTTATTAAGGGCACCTGGGTGGCTCAGTTGGTTAAGCGTCTGCCTTCGGCTCAGGTCATGATCTGGGGATCCTGGGATCGAGCCCCACATCGGGCTCCCTGCTCAGTGGGTAGATTGCTTCTCCCTCCCTCTACCCCTCCCCCTGTTTGTGTTCCCTCTCTCGCTGTCTCTCTCTCCGGCAAAAAAATAAATAAAATCTTAAAAAAAAAAAAAAAAAAGAGTATCTTTACTTGTGGGCCATATAAAAACAGGTGGCAAACTCATTTTGGTCCAGGAGCCAGAGTTTCCAATCCCCACACTAGAGAGCAAAAGAGGCTTCCAGGCAGCCAGGACCGCGTGGGCATTCTACTCTCCCAGAGATGTCTGGTCAATATGCAACCCCAAGGATGGCCAGTGAATGGCAATGCATGGGCCTCATTCCCCACCTGTGTCCATGACAGCCATCACGAATCTGTCACAGTCCTCCTTGCCACCACGCAGGAGCATGACCTCAAAATGCTGTCACAGCTCAGACCCCCACTAGTCGAGATCAGACTTGGCAGGTTAAGATATAACCCATCTTCCATTATGGCTCCAGGACAAAACAGGCTGGGAAGGAGGGAAAAAGGCATAGAGCTACCTCACAACGGTAAAGCTAGTGATTTAGCCAACTCTGAGCACTTATATCCAAAGTTGAAATTTGGAAAGGCGACTAGACGCTGGAATTTTGGGAAGCGGTGCCCAGGGAAGGAAGGGCGAGCAGGTCTGTCCCCAGCGTGACAGAACTGAAAGCTCTGACTCCAGACCACATCCTCTTAACTTCTCTGCAAAATTTACTACCTCTTAAAAGTTGCAAAGGAGTGCAGATCCCCTCCATGCCTTTGAAGATACCCTTTGCTCTGCCTGGAATTCTTAATTCCCTCTTTTTTCACTTGGCAGGCTCCTACTTATCCCGCAAGACCCAGTTTAATGTCACATTCCCCTTGGAACCTTCCCAACTCTCCCACTCAAGATTAACCACTACCTTCACATTTCATGCTTGTTCGGCTATCTCTCTCTTACTGGCCTGGGGTCCTTCAGAGGGCAGAAGCTGTGTTTGATCCATCTTGATAGCCCCTGACCCTATCCCAGTGACTAGCATGTCATAGACACTCGATAAATGAATTCATGCATCTGGGTGGCCCAAGGCACAATGAAAGTGCTTCTAGGAGGGAAAGCTGTTTCTCCCACGAACTTTGCCTGGCTCCACAGTTTTAGGGAGACTCACTGTACAGCCTCTCATCACTGCCTGTGGCTATGGGCAGTGGTTTGTTGGTTGATTGAGGATCTGCCATGGGCCAGGAGCCAGTGGGTCCTCAAAGCTGGGAATGAAGAACGCAGAATCAAAGCCAGAGCTGGAGCTAGCAGGAAGGAGCCGATGAAGGGACCAGGGTGGCCCCATGGGGATATTCAGGCTTAAGACCTACATTTAGGTCTGCAGCATCATGTGGATGCTGTTTGGTGTGTTGCCAAAGGCCAAGAGGCACAAGCCCAGGGATAGCCTGCTCGGTAGCATAGAAATATGGCTGGGTGCACCGCTAAACCACACCTCCCAGTCTCCTCTGCGGTTAGGTAGGCCATGTGACTCCATTCTGGCCAATCAAGACTGGGCAGTGGGCCAAAGTGATGACCTCACTTGCGGGTCCATGCCTTAAGCATTTCCCCCACAAGCCTCTGTGTTCCCACTTTGCCCACTTGCTGGCTGAACAAGTGGGGAGAGTGGCCAGCCTCTGAGGACCTGGAGGGAGGGAGAGCAACCATATGGTAGGGGCCCGAGATCCTGAGTTGGTGTGTAGAGGGGACCTACCCAGGAAAGCCACTCAATCAGGAACATGCCCATGGACTGGTGTGAGCAAGAAATACACCTTGACCATGGGAAGCCATTACAATGTCGGGCTGCATGTCACAGTTAGCCTGGACTAAGAGAGAAACCTCTTGGTACTATCAGAGTCTCCAGTCCCATCCCTCGGTCCTCACCCAAGTCAGCAGCAAGATATTCGAGAAACAGCCATGGCTGCTCAGGACAGCTCCCCTGCATCCCACCGACCCAGTGCAGATGCTTCACTCACCAATGATGCCAAAGGAGAAAAGTGTCAGCTGCTTCCCTAGCTTGTCCATGCTTTTTTGTAGTGGGGTTTTAGGCGTCTGAAAGGATGAGAACAATGGGTTTGTGAGAGGAGATCCCAGTAGCGCCCCTCAGCTTCTGCCTGGCTTCTTTATACCTTGAGCGGAGTGACAATTCCACAGGCGGGCACATATATACAAACTCACTGACCTCTACACTTGAGAGCTGTGCATGTTAGCGTCTGTAAATTATATCTTGACAACAAAATCCTAATAAATGTTGTTCAATAAAAATAAATTTTTAAAAGCGTGAAAACATGAACTCGTATTACCCACATCATCCTCGCTCCCCAGGAGTGGGCAGGGCTGGTGTAGGTAGCTGAGAGGAATCTCAAACCCCAGACTACGGAAAAACCAAAGCCACCACTGGCCCTTACCTCTTCAGCCTGCATCATCTTGAACACTTCTCCGAACTGGGACCTTTCCCCTGTTCCAATCACGACTCCCTGTGTTCAGGAGAGAGGAGCGTGAGGTCTGAAGCTGGAAGCCCGCTGGTGAGGGCAGCCAAGGTCCCTGGGGCTTACCTGCCCCTTCCCACACTGCACCAGGGTCCCCATGAAGACAATGTTGCTCAGAGTGGTGAGGTCCCCTCCACCCGTCAGCGGGCTGTCCGTCTTACTGCATGGCTCGGCTTCTCCTGTGAAGCTGGACTCGTCCACCAGGAGGTCCGTGACCTAGAAAGGGAAGAGACGATGGACTCTGCCCCTTCACCCTGAGAACGGATTTTAAAAGCACAGAATGGACCACACTTGCCCTGTAAAACTTCTCAACTGGGAAAAGTCTCCTGTGCATAAGAGATCGTGCCCCTGACTGCCAAGAATGAAGTCTGACCATTGGGCATCTATATAGTAGGCATGCATCTCTAAGCAGAAAACATCCCTCTGCTAGGACCTAGAGTTGGGCTGTAAATGATTTTTTCCCTGGGTTATCTGTACTGACCTGGCAGGATATTCAAATAAGTCTTTCCTGAACAAACTCCTAAGACTGTGTTGGCAGGGGGAAAAAATTAGATTCTTGGGGACCATCCCTGATACTCAGGGTCATTTCTAAAATCACAAACGAGAAGCTCCTGAGTTTGATATAGAATTCAGGAACTTCAGACATTTATCGTAGGTGCATTAAAGAAAGCTTGTGTCTATGTTTACATTTGAACGTGATCTTTAGGTTCTGAGAAATCACTGTCATTTTGCCAATTTATCAAAATGACTGGTCTGGCATTGACCGTGTCGAACAGAGGGGTGGCCTGGGAGATGCCTTTGGAGAGCAGCTGGGACTGCTGGTACCCAGCACAGAGTGCTTGCCTTTCCCGAACAAGTGTCTTCCAGAGACGCTGGCTCTGATGTCTGGTTTGGAAAGTGAGCCAGATTGCCCTCCTCAACCTCGGCCATAAAGTTATGGCTGTTTTCATGAGGATGTTCTGCCACTAGGTAATCCAAGTCACATTTTACAATGTAACAAAGTTTTGTTTTTCTTTTTTTAAATGTTGCCACAATTAAAAAAAAAAAAAAAGCAACCAGGAAAACATAGGACAGTATCTGGCCCCGTCATGCCATTTACCAACAGATAGCAAAGAACACATCGAAATCAGGGAACCAGGATCAGAACATGGCCTCAGATGCCTCGAGGAACTGAACAAGCTTTGAATGTGTAGCCCCTCTTGAAAAACATGCCTCATACCTTCTGTAACATTAGTTAAAATTTTAATGTAATGTGTAATGTTAGAAAAAACTTAGGCAATGGTTAATTTAGAATATACCTTTCAAAGCATCTGTGCCTTTCTCCGGACATTCCACGTCCTGCCCACCTCAGACACCCCCACACAATTCATGTGCTTTGAGCATCACTGAACCAGGTCATTCAGTGACAGCCTAAGGTTACATTAACACCAGAAACCACACACAGGGGTGCCTGGGTGGCTCAGTCGTTAAGCATCTGCCTTCGGCTCGGGTTATGATCCCAGGGTCCTGGGATCGAGTCCCACATCGGGCTCCCTGCTCGGCGGGAGGCCTGCTTCTCCCTCTCCCACTCCCCCTGCTTGTGTTCCTGCTCTCGCTACCTCTCTCTCTCTGTCAAATAAATAAATAAAATCTTAAAAAAAAAAAAAAAAAGAAACCACACACAGGCACAGCACACACACCAGGAAAGGAGGAGGGAGGTGCTCCCATTTCCAGAACTCCTATGATGTGCTAGGCCTTGCACCAAGCACTTCACAAGGCCTCTTAGTCTCCACACCCTCCAAGACAGATGCTATTGGTTTCTCCGTTTTACATATGGGGAAACTGAGGCATGAAGCGTTTAAATAACTTGTTCCAGGTTATACAGCTACTTCATGTCACAGCAGAAGTGTGAACCAAGGCTCTGGTTCCAGAAACTGCACTCTTAACCATCTTGCAAAACTAACACGGACCCAGTAGGTATCACTCAAGAGGTGAGTCCCCTGTAACCAGAACTGTGCCAGATACTATGGAGGACATAGAAGGGGTCCAGGGTGATCTCTGCCCCTCAGGACCTTGCCATTTCAGCAAAGAAGACCAACTTAGAAAAGCCCTCTTCCTACAAACTCCCAAGAGAACAGTTAGATCGGCACTATTCAAATAGGGGCTGGTGAGTTCTCTACACTTGCAAATTTTAAAAATTCATAACCCCCTTTTATAAATATGCACACTGCCCTGGGATCCCAGGCCCCAAGGATGACAAGGGCTACTCCTTGAATGTATAATAACCATGTCCCCCTTCCTAACAGAACCCCCACTGGGAATGGTATCGGGGGTTGGGGGTGGCCATGTGCCCCTCCTCCCACACAGTATTACTTCCCAGCCTCCCTTGCAACTCACAATGTCTCTACCTTCTGGACAATGGGATTCAAGAAACCACCAACAGTCCTGGGTAGGATCTGGGAAGGTGGCTGAGCTGACAGGCCCTCTTCACCCTTCTAGCTTCCTCCTTCTGCCTACCTGGGCCTTCGTTATAGTAGCTCCAGAAGCCATGGTACAAGCATGGGAAGGCAGAATGAGGGGGCTGGGAGAAACCCTGGCTCTTTATTCCATGCTGGAGCCACCATATTGGCTCTGGACACTCCAATTCCAGTCTCTCATTATTCGAGAGAGGAGTAAATCCCTGACCCACTGAAGCCTATATATTTCTCTTAACTCTATTAACCACAAAGACAACCGCCAGCTGATCTAGAGTTTGTGTTTTTTTTATCTCCAGGACATCAAGGGCAAGTCAAAGGACTTCCTGGAGTAGCTCCTAACACAATGAAGGAAGAAATGGGGAGATGGAGTCATCCAGCACCACTGGCTGCCGACACCACAGACTGCAGGAAGCAGAAATCAGCAAATCCCCATGGAAAGCAGGGATCTGGTTTCCAGAAAACACTGTTTAACTGTCTAACTGACATGTGATAATTTGAATAAATTGTACTTACTTGGAAAATTTGGCTTAGGTTTACAGTTGCATAAAGTTTGAAGCACATGGAATCTGTACCTAAATTTATGTTTGTTCACATTAAGTAACCCTGTAACAAAAACAGTAAGTCAATAGTGGGAAGGGAACCCCTCTATTGACTGAATCTGGGAGATGTAATTATTATAATCTGATGTTCTTGTCAGGTCTGATCTGCAGCAGAAGGCTTCGGAATGGGGAACAGGAGGGTAGAGCAGCTGGGTTGGGGGGATGATCTGGAAGAGGAGATTGCCTGGGGAATCGGGGACTTGAGATGGGTCTTGAAGGATGACCAGACATTTGGTGAGTGAATCAGGCAGGGAAGGAAAAGAAGGCAAGGTGGGGGACTGACGATGCCTGAACTTGGTAATAACACGCTTGGTCAAAGCAACTGAGAGGAGGGGGAGGCCAAGAAAAGACCTCTCTTATCCCAGTACCCCACCAGCATTAACAGGACAGTGACCCCGTATGCTGAGCATGGGCACCAATTCACCCTCTTTGGGGTACAGATTCTTGGGGGGGGTGCTGTCCCTAGTGCTGAAGCCATGGCGGGATGGAGAGCTGTCCTGCCCTTGAGCAGTACTGAATGGAGTGGGCACAGGCAAGAAGACAGGTTTGGTCCACATGGAGCAGAGCACTTGTGGAACATGTGGTTGAACTCAACTGCATCTGGCATTGCTTAAGAAATTTGGATAGTGGGGCGCCTGGGTGGCTCAGTCATTGATCTTCTGCCTTTGGCTCAGGTCATGATCTCAGGGTCCTGGGATCGAGCCCCACATCGGGCTCCCTGCTCGGCGGGAAGCCTGCATCTCCCTCTCCCACTCCCCCTGCCTGTGTTCCCTCTCTCGCTGTGTCTGTGTCAAATAAATAAATCTTTAAAAAAAAAAAAAAGAAATTTGGATAGTACTTTATAAGTAATGAGGAACCAGGAAAAGTCTTGAGCAGAGAAGAGAGGTGAATGAAATCACAAAATCATGTTAGATGTTGGAAGAGGCTATAATGGGATGGGAAGCCTACAGTCCAAGAAATACAGGTCAAGCGCAACAGAGGAAGGCTCTCGATGAAGGGTGGCGGTGGGCGTGGGCAGAAGAGCCAGCCAGGAGGAACAAGAGAATTGGCAGGTACTGGAACTAAGTAGGCATGTGGAAATAGGCAGAGGTCAGTAAGACTCAGAGCTTATTCTGGTCTACAGAACATCTTTCAATTAAGCATATTTAATCCTGAATATATTTCATTAAAGCCCATTTGGGATGGGCAGGAATCTTAGAGGTTGAGACTCAGTCAACACCCCAACCTTCCAAACCAAGACATGAGCTTAAACCCTTCCTCAGGTTTATTTGTTCTTTTTTTAAATTCCAGCACCTTGATTTTTCTTTTCCCCACCCAGTGACACGATTTTCCTTCTGACCTCCAGAACTGTAGGAGAATACACCTGTGCTTACACCACTCTGTATGTAGTCATTTGTTACAAGAGCCATAGGAAACAGAGATGGGGGAACCCAGCGGGAGAGACAGGGAGCTGGAAAAAGTCAGAAAGAACAGCTGATCGCAGCAGGAAAGCACACAACGTGGGTGGTGACAGATGGGGTTCTGCAGCCCCCAGACCTGAATTCAAAACCTCCTCCCTCACTTACTGCTGCATGACCTCAGGTCGGCTGCTCAGTCTCTCCAGGCTTCTGTGTCCTTGTGCTCAAGTCAGAAAATTGAGTGGTGTTTCCTTAAGGTTGTTGGGAGATGGAGGGAGGCAGTTTCTACCCAGCGGTTAGCACAGACCTGACTTCATATATATATATATATACATGCATTAGTTCTCTCCAGAAGAGAGAAACAGGGAGGCAGAGAGTAAGGGTGAGTGTCTGGACCAAGAAGGAACAAAGCTGGTTGTGTGCGTGTGTGTGTGTGTGTGTGTGTGTGTTTCTGTGCGTGCTTGTGTGTAGTTTCTGGTGACCTCCCAGGCACCATGTCAGCTGAGGGGGTGAGTGGCTGAAAACAGTCAAAGCACAGAACCCACATGATACCAGAGGTCACCCAGAGGAGGTTGCACCTGAAGACAATTGAGGGCTCTGGTCACTTCCTGCTCATCTGCGGGCAAGCCTCCTCCTGTCCCTCACACCCAGTCAGCCTCCCACCTCGGACACAAAGCGTTACTTGGAGTCCTGACAGATCCCATTCAATACCGTTTTCATGCCAGAAATGGGAGAGGAAAAAGAAGGAGCCGTGTCCCTGCTCTACTGGCTGGCCCAGGTTAGCCTTCCCCCTAGACCTTGACCTTGGTTAACTGTGGGAAGAGAAAATGTTTTGTGACCCCCTCCCCACAGGATGCAAAGAGCGCTAGTACTTGGGTGACTTATTTTAAGAACGTTCTTGAACCCGCTGTTTCCTGGACTTAAATAGCTTTACACTACATATAAAGCTCTCCTGGATCTCAGAATTTAATAGCTGACACAAATATCCCACTGTGAATAAACAAAGCTATTGATTGTTCAATGGAGTTGCAAAGTGCCAAAAGGGAAATCTGTAGTGTTTGTGCCCGGTGGCAAGGAAGAAAGCATTCTGTGCTGTCCGTAGCATTTAACAGAATAGAACAGAATTTAACATAAGCAAGTCAGGAAGAAAACTCGTTGAAACTGAGAGTTACCTGGGGGTTAAAAGCTGTTTCGGGGACTGCTGGGCAGGCAGGGAAGAGAGCACAGTGAAGCAAGCCACGTCACCGGGCTGAACTTGTTGCAGGTCTTATCTCCTCAAGGTGGAACGAAGGCTATCCCCTTTCATAAATGAGGAAACCAAGGCCCAGAGCGGCCAATCCTTCCCCAAAGTCATATACCGGGAGGTGCAGGGCAGGGGTGTGAAACCCAGGGCCCCCTGATTTCCAACACATGCCCGTCACTCACCCGTGTCAGGCGCTGCTTGGAGCACTCTCCATCTATGACGTCATGTAATGCTAAGTCACCCTACAGCACCGTCATTGCCCATCTTACAAACGGGGAAACTGGGGCACACACAGGTTAAGTAACTTGCTCCAAGTCACCCAGCTTGTGAATGACAGGCCCTCGGTTCAAACTCAGGCCAACAATCCTAGAGTTCCTGAAAACACATCCTCTGGAAAGCAATACTTCGGGGAGATAACCTGCCTAATCCTTTATCACTGAGAACTTTCAACAACTCTTTAGTATTCTTGGAAGGATTCATAAAATAGATTACCCCATCAACAGATCCCTCTGACCTGGACTTAACCTTTTCTCGGGAACCCGGGATTATCTCCGAGAGCCTCAGGGATTGTCCTGTAAGCCAGTGACACCTGGACACCCACAAAGGTCAGGGAAACAGCTTGCCCCCCCAACCCCGCCTGATGTCCCCAAACTACACAACTGTAAAAGCTTGGGCTACGAGTTACGTCTTCATCGGTCTGCTTCCCTCCTCGTCATTCAGCAATCTGGTATCTCCTCTTTCTGACATCAGAGTAGCTGTTTCTAGAAGCAACTCTTGCCTCATTTCTCAGCCCGAGCCTGGCTTAATTTGCTCCTGCAGCCTGCTGTAAACCAGAAACTCACGTCACCAAACTGTGTTAGGCTTTTACTGAAAATGGGAATAAATATTTTATGAAATACAACTTGAGGGGCTTTGTGTTTACAATGACCTTGCTTGCTAACTTCATGCCTTGTGTGTCAGCACACGTGTGTGTGTGTGTGCGCGTGTGTAACAGAGAATGCCTGCCTCCGATAAGCTAAGCGTCTGCGTATCGCCCAGACCAGGGTTCGGGACCCCTCACCTCAGTGAGACGGATGTCTGCAGGGATCCGGTCTCCGATCGAAAGAGACACAATGTCTCCGGGAACCAGGTCTCGTGCAAGCAGATGCTGGAGCTTTCCTTCTCTTATGCTGCATTTGAAATGGGAAAAAGCAAAAGCACGCTGATCACATCCCATTTTTGCACATTTTAATAAACCTGAGCAAAGAATAGAGAATCACACTTTCTCTTTCAGTTATGGACAAACCCTTGTGCCTTTATGGTTTTATTATATTTTAAATTCACATACCCTGAAAGACTTTTGGAAAATTGTGTGGCTTCTGGGAGACCCCGGGCCTCATCTGAAAAGTGGGGCGACTACTACTGTTTACCCTGCCTAGAAACAAGGTGGAGCCGCATGGCTTCCAGAAGCTTCTGTAGGTGTAGGTCAGCAGCTCTAAAGCTTCCTAATGGAGTCAGCAGCTGGCAGCGCTTCTGTCCTCAGAGAAGACAGCATTCTGGCAATGGAGAGCTGAGTAGCATGGAAGAGCCTCATCAGAGCCGGGGTTGGGGGGGAGCATCGTAAGTACCGGAGGAGCCTAGGACCTCCTTCCCCATCGGGCCATGACCCCTCCTCCCGGCTGTGCCGGGGACAATGCACATGCTTCTATGCACAGGCTCCAGTTACAGTGCCCCCTCCTCGGACGCCGCAGCCGCAGCTGGACTCCTGCCCTATCCCTGGCCCTCTTCGATTCGCCCCTACCCAGTGGCCAGAGAGCTCTGAAAATGCAAAAATCAGGTCACAACTCTCTCCTGCTCCAAACCTCCAATGGCTTTCAGTGACCTTGGACTCAAACCCAAAAGCCCTGCTAAGGCCCCCTTGACCGGGACCTGCCTCCTCCCCCGTTCCTGCTGCTCCCCATCAGGCCATCCAGCCTTCGAACACACCCAGCTCTTTCTAGTCTCAAGGTCTCGGCCAACCCTGGACGTTGAAGAGGACATTCCCCTCTTCTTTGTTAACAGAACTGACTCTTGTTCAGACATCCACCCTTTCGCCCAGAGCCGTCTGTTCTAGGGAGGGGGTCCTGACCGACTGAGACCATCAGGGTGACCCCATCCCCTTCCCACGATTGGCTTAGGCACAGGCACGTTCCGTAACACTGGTTTTTGAGACATGAGTGGACATTTGCTGGGGGCTCGAGAGAAAGGTCTCTTCATTCTGTAGACACACACATACACACGACCCCTTCTTCTGCTGGATCTTTCCATGTCTGCCTCTGATGCCAGGAGCTATGGCAGGGGTCTTGGGAGCACGAGCGGAGCCAGCCAGAGAACAGAGCCAATGAGCCGAGGATGGCAGGGTGAAGAAATCAAAGGACTCGGTCCTCGGAGCCTTCTCAAACCAACCACACTGGCCCTCCCACCTCACATCCCTTGCCATGAGATGACACGATTCCTCTGGTTTGTGTGGCTGAGCTGTCCATGTAGCCAAGAGCACCCATCAGAGATTCACCTGCTGTTCTCTCAGCTCTTCCCCTGGCTGGCTCCTGCTGTTCCTCTGGTCTCAACCTAAATGTCAGTTCCTCCCCAAACGTCAGATCAGGGCAGCCTGAGCAGCAGCTCTTCGGAGCCGTTCCCACTCTTCTACTGTGTGCTATGGCATCTCTGGGAGGTTTTTCTGTGGCTCCAGGTCTGGGACCCCATTTTGGCTTTAATGCACCTGCCACAGTCCAAAGTCAACTTGCTCCTTCACTTTATTATCTGCCTCCCCTGGGAGGAGTGTGAGTGCTCTGAAGGCCAAGCCCTCGTCTTCTGGCTCACCCGTGTAACCCCGGCACTATTCTTCCTGGCACACAGTAGGTGCTCACTAAAAATGCACTGAGTGCACAGAGGATGGAGGGAACCCAAGAGAGACCTGCGTGGCAGGTGTTTCTTCTGGCTCGTACAACAGGCCTCAGATGCCGAGGCGGAGGCTGCTCATCTTCGGTGCCCTACCCACCTGCCTGCCACCGCTGTCCTTGAACATAAAATCATCTTTTAGAAGTGACTTCCGGGAACATCAATAATGCATACTATTCACCTGAAAGGTCAAGACTTGATATTTAAACTTAAGATCAGATCCTCAAATCACATAAATCATTTACATTTGTTTGTTCGTATGATGTCACACATCCCACATCTGGATTTCTGACAACCCTGTTCGTCTACTGATTAAGCCCAGACATTTTTAGTGTCCCCAGTGAACCTTCTAGAATTGACTCACCTCTCTCATGCTTCCACATCATCCTTTTTGTCTCTGTTATTCATTATTCTCTGCCTTGTATTACACACACACACACACACGCCCCTCGCTTGCTGGCTCCTTGAGAGGTGGAACTCATCCCACTAGATCCTTCTATCCCCAGCCGTGGGGTGCAGTTGTGCCATTTATACCCAAATATATGTGAAGGTTCTTCCCCAAACATCACCTTTCAGGAAACAGAGTTACCATATGTTTAAACCCTTCCGAAGCCCCTGGGGTCGTGAGATACTTTCAGTTACTGTCTTTTGAGCAACACGTGCAGATCTGGGAAAGACACGCGCCCCCGACCTCAGCAGAGCTGGTCAGCGGAGGGGGCGCAGACCTGGACCTTTTCTGAAATCAGTCCACTTCTACAAGGAGAGTAAGCATGTGGATTACCGGCATACTAGAAATTACATGGAGAAAAAGCCAGGCGCCAAACCCTTTCTCCTCCGTGGGGGGGGCCGCAGCCGCTGCTCTAAGCCTCTGCTGTGCACGACTGCAGCCCCGAGCCCCCGCCGGCCAGTTACGCTAAGGGAGATGAAGAACTCACTTCCCCCGTCGCCCCAGCCACACCCGGGTCCTCAGGGGTCATATGTGAGCAATGGTGCCGCACTGGGCAGCGCGGGTTACAGAACATCCCAGCAAGTTCTAGCGCACAGCACTGTGGTCTGGTCCTTCCTTTCTCCTTTGAGGGCTCTGTGATGGGTAACAGGAGGCCCCGTGGAAATGACCAGGCAGGAAAGAGGCTGGTGGGGCTGCAGGGCACATGGCCGGCTGGCGGTCGGTCACCCCTGTGCCATCTCGCCCCGCAGGCCAGCGGCCTGAAGCCTCGGCCCGTTTCAGCCCTGCATCACCAGCTCCTCTCATTCCCTCTTGGAGAATTTAATGCAACTTCTGAATGCTCCCTGCAGGAAAAACGGGCACAGCTTTGCCCACCATACCGCCCTCTTCCCCAAGCCATTCCCGCCGGCTGTGGCCCCAGCCCAGGCACCCTGATTAGACCCTGATGAGAGACTCGAGGCCCGGAGAGGTAGAATGACATGCCCAAGGACACACAGTAATCTGTTGGCAGGGCAGGTGCCAGGTCTCCCGACCCCCGGACAGACATGGTCCTCTTCCATCACGCTACAAGTGACAGAAACTTTGCCCAACTTTTGCCAAACTCACCCGCCCACCGACTCCTCTGATGAACCAGAAAGTTGCAGGGAAACTCTGACTTACCAGTTACATTCGGGAGGAACCAGCTTGCTTAGCTCTTCTAGTGATTTCTCCGACCTGTATTCCTGGCAGGCAGCACATGGAACATGATAATCAAGGGTGGGAACTCCACACTGTCACACCATGGTTACCCTGACCAAGACCACAGGAACTAATTACACACCTGGATGAAGGCGACAGTGACCACGATCAGCACGGCCTAGGGAACAAACGGGGAGGGTGGCGTGAGCACCCAGCTGTCGGGTGAGTGAGTGAATGAGTCCATGGAAGGTGGGACACAGCACCTCCCCTTTCCAAATAAATTTCCTTTCTTCTTGCAAACCAAGCACAAAGAAATTTAGAAAACAGATGAGCCGCTTCCCCCCGCCCCGAAAAAGAACAGAAAAATCATCCCAAATTCTGGCATCCAAAGGTTCACATTTTAGGGTACCCTTTTAGATTTTTCCACATAGACATACAACACAGGATCCTATGATACAGACACATTCTTTTATAAACAGCCTTTTCACACAACATATTGTAAATATTGTTCCACGATATCAGAAGATATGGATGAAGCTTCAGCCTTTTAAACAGAGGAACAAATACTATTGCTTGGAAGGAGCCTGCTTTTGCATTTTAAAAGAGCACATGACAGACAAAGGGAAGCAGGAATGACAGTCATCAAAAGGTATTCAGTAGGAGCCAGATATAAAAGGTCATATATTGTATGATTCCATTATATAAAATATCCACAGAGGTCATAGAGACAGAGAGCCGACTGGGGTTTGCCAGGGGCTGGGAGGTGGCCTGGGAGGGGTGGGAAGGGGGAATGGGAGGGTTCTGGGAGGGGTGGAGAGGGGGAAAGGGAGGGGTCTGGGGAGGGGGATGGTAGGTAGGGTGGGCGAGGGGGGCTTCCTTTTAGGGCCGTGAAGTATTTTGGCGCTAGCTAGACCTGGTGGTTGCACAGCGCTGTGAATGTGCTAAATGCCACTGGACTGTATGCTTTAAAATGGTTAATTTTTTAACCATGTGACTTTCACCTAAATTTTAAAAAAAATTCTTTTTAAATAGGTGCTCAGCGGTTACATCCGGGGAAGGGCTTACAAATGATAGCTTTGTGCAGCATGCACAGCGGGGTCATGGAAGAGGACTTCACTGCAGTGTTGTTCCCCAAAGACACCAGAAGCCCCCCGGGGTATCTACCAAGACAGTGATGGCAAAATGACCCAGGACACCTCCACAGGGGTAGGGGGGGCGGTAAGAGAAGGACGAGGATTTGCTTTCCTTTCTTTCTGCTGTTATTTCCTATTTTTTTCTCTACAGCCACACTCTTTTTCCTTGAATAAAATATACCAAGACTCTGCAAGCCCCTTGGCAGCGGGGTCTGGGAGGCGGCGCAGCCCCCCGCCCTCCCCACTCACCATGGCGATACTGACGGCATCCTCATACTCCTTCGTGAGGACGCTCACCAGGGCGGAGGCCAGGAGCAGCAGGATCAAGGGGTTCTTAAACTGCAGAGAGAACACAGGGTGGCGGGGTAAGGGTGCAGGGTTCTCTTCTAGTCCCTCAGCTCTGCGCTCAGGGCCGGGCTTCCAGGCCAGCACTACAGTGACCCGCCCCCTCCAAAGGTTCTCCTCCACCCAAAATGCTCCCCCCCCACTGCAGTGTCATTGACACTGACTTCCTGGGGGTCATCCAACACTGTGCCTGTCCAGACAGCAGCCCTGGCCCTGCCTTGGCGTTCTTGGTCTCCACGACACTGAGTCTGTCACATCTCCACGACACTCCAGGTCCCAGCCCCTCTGGTGACTTGCCAGCTCTGGTCCAGCATGGCCAAGGGGTCCCCTTTGCTACGCCAGGTCCCCAGTGCCATGTGTCCCAATCACACCAACCTGCTCCTGTAACTGCCTCTGGGGGCTCCAGGGGTGTCCCTCCTGAGAACAGGTGCCACAGAAACTTCCCAAGAGGATATTGCCTTATGTATCTACTCCCTCGTTTCACAGATCTATTACATAGTAGCTCATGTTACAGCCCATTGAAAGGAAACATAAAGACAAACTCACAAAAACAGGAAGAGAGTGAGTGGACCAAAGATCAAGATCAAAGTAGGAGTTAAAATACCAATATGCTAGCCCTATTTTTGTGGTTTCAAATGGGGCTGTGCGTTTGGCCTTGAGCTTCCCAGCAGCCAAGGCAAAAAGAGAAACACGATCAGATGTGTGATTCATGCTGCTCATGAAAAGAAGCACATCAGTGTCATATCAGTATGGTGCATGAAGGGATTTAATGCCCCTTACTCCCCACCCCAGACTTGCTGGGCTTCATCTCCTCTGAATGAGGGACAGGACATTTTGGGGTAATGTCACCAGCAGCCCTGAGTTAGCCACAGCATCTATTTTGAATCCTCAAGACTGAACAACTTGACAACATTCTACCTTCTTAGCTACAATCTTTCTATGATTGTATCAAGAACTTGAAACACGCATCAAAGTTTCTGAGATGGACCTTATTTAATTAGCTACAGGCTTCTCCAGAAGGGTAAAGACTTCCGGATATAAATAAACCATCGGTTAATATTGTGGACTTTGTAAAGCATTCCATGGGCATGAAGTCACAGATTAGAAAAAGGCCTTAGATTAAAACAGTTTCAGGGACACATCACCCAAAAGCCAAAGGTAGGATTTGTTCAGACTTCGCTTCGAACAAAACTGCAAAGCGGCGTCTTTGAGGCCTGCGGGGAAAACGGACTGCGGACTTGGCACGTGAAGTGGACCAGGCCAATGAAGTGATAATGGTACCAGCGGGACCATTATGGTTAATGGTTTTTTTTTTATGGTTAAAAAAAAAAAAAAAGGGCAAGAAAAAGGAACACATCCTCTAATGATAGAGATACATAGGAAAGTACAGATGGCAAAAGGATTTAATATCTTGAATTTGTTTTAAAATACTACAGAGAAAAAGGGAAGGATAAAAGTGGGTCAAATAGATGGATAATTATTGAAGGCAGATAATGGATATGTGGGGGTCTTTATACTATTCTCTCTACTTATGCATATTTTTGAAATTTTCCCTAATGAAAGATTTTTAAAAAGGTTTTGGCCAGTGAAGTCCCAATTTTGGTTCTGAGAGCATCTGACAGCGCTGGACGTGGGTGGGTCTGGGGGAGCTTGCAGAGGGAGGGGCTGCACTCGGAGCTGCCTGGCAGAGCTCACGGCCAAGGCCACACCCTCGCCAGTGGAGGTGGACACCCCCTTTCTTCAGAAATCTGGGTAGGATGAAGTCCAAGAGCAGAGGGAAACTCGAGCTCAGGAAAGCCCAGTGGAGGGTGCATTACGTCCAGGGCTGCTGTGATAAATGACCACAGCCTGGGGGCTTAAGAGAACGTCGTAGGCGGATTCTCTCACACTTCCGGAGGCCAGAACTCCAAATGAAGGTGTTGGTAGGGCCAGACTCTCTCTGGTGGTTCTGGGAGAGAATCCTTCCTGCAACTTCCAGCCTCTGCTGGTGGCCTGCCATTGTGTTGTTCTTGGCTTGTAGACACACCCCTCCAGTCTCTGCCTCTGTGGTCACATGGCCTTCTCCTCCCTGTGGCTATCTCCATGTATCTCCCCTCTTCTTATCAAGGACACCAGGCATTGGATTTGGGGCCACCCTAATCTGGTAGGACCTCGTCTGAACTAGTCACATCTGCAAAGACCTTATTTCCAAATGAGGTGCTATTCTGAATTCCAGGCCAACACGAGTTTGAGGGGGACACTATTCAACCTAGTACAGAGAGGAAAAACACCTCAGTCCAGCAGAGCTAAGAGTAAGATTTCATTTCAGCCCTGAGCCCATCACAGACTTGCCACCCGGTTGGATAGAAGTGAGGTGAGAGATGCACAAACAGGGGCCGAACACCCAGCACGCACCAGGCACCGGGATTCTCCAGGCCACCTTCTGAAGCTCGGTTAACCTCACATGAGCCTGGCCTCTCCTGCCTCAGGGCCTTTGCACTTCCCCCTCTTGCACATCCTTCCTCCAGACCCTCACACAGCTCCCTTCCTCACTTCATTCAGGTTTCTGCTCAAAGACTGGCCCCTCAGGAACCAGTCAAACAGCTCCCCTGAGCATGCAGTCCAAAATAGCTGCCCTGCGATCACTTCCTAGCCCCTGTCCTGACTCGTTTCTCCCCACCACACTCACTGGCTGATGCATTACATATGCCCCAAAGCAAAGCTGGTCTGGCTGCCGCTCCCTGCACAGTGCCCAGCCCATGGCCAGGAACATGAAAAGCACTGACCTAGAACGAATGAGTCCATGAAACAGCAAGCACCCAGTTTTGGGCGGGGAAACCTGAGGCTTGGTGGGGTGAGAGCTCCTACTCAAGGTCACCTAGCAGAGCAGAGATCAGCACAGGTTCAAGTCCTCCTGCGCAGGTCACTTCCATAATATGCCACCTGGCTCCCTGCCCTCCCCTCCCTCCAGGCTACACCCACCCAGGACTCTGGGAGCAGCAGGTCTATTTCTGGACAACAGGCCCCTCCAGCCATGGGCTCAGGGCTAGCTCAGGGGTGTGCAGTCCTGGCCGGGGCCACTCTGAGTGCTGGGACCGGTGCTGGTCTCTAGCCAGGCCTGGATCAAGTGCCACCTTGAACCCCGATTCCAATCCCATAGGCTCAGCCCTTGCCTGAGCTGGACCTGGACAGTCCTTCAACACTGACATCACCAGGTGCCCTCCTTCCCCATCTTCAGACCATCCCAAGCACCTGCCCAGTCTCATCCAACACAAGCGAGTCACCAGGAGACCCAGCAAACAGATGCCAGACCCAACGGGAAGGTCCCACCACATGCCACCAGGGCTGCTCTGGCCATGGATGGCTACACTCTTCCTGGCTTGGGGCCCTTCTAAGCCCACACATAAAGGGAGTCAGGCAGAAAGGTGGTCTGCTACAGTTAACAATAAAGCCAACCGACATTTTACTGAGCGCCTCCCATGTGCCCTGCTCTATGCTAAATGCTTCACCTGCACCATTTCTTAGCCTCTTCCTAACCCGATGACACAGGTACTGTTCAGTATCCCTGCTTGAAAAACGAGCAACCTGAGGCTCTGAAAGAAACTGAACTGTCCAAGGATTCATGTAGGTTAGCCCGATCCAAAACCTGTGTTCTTAACTGCTACACTTCAATTAGGGCCAACTGGTAGACATGGCATGGGGGGTACAACATTTATTAAGTCCTTAACATGTGCTAAGCTGTCCTTTTCTCATGTAAAACTCAGAACAATGGGTATTAGACCCATTTTCTAGACAGGGAAAACTGAGGCTCAGGGAGGTTCAATAACTTGCTCAAAGTCACAAGGCTAGAAACTGGGATTTGAACCCTAATCTACCTCTGCCTTATGATTCTGGGGCAACATGTCTTGAGTCATGCCAAGGTAGAATTGCTGATGGTGATTCTCTTGAGACAGAGAGGTAGGGCAGCCTTGTGGAGAGCTCCCGGTCACTGGAGGACATGGGCAGGATAATCCTAACACCTGGCACAGAGCAAGTGCTCAGCGAATGTAAAGAACGACTAAGTGAGCACAGACGATTTTCCGTACTCGTCGAGGATGGAAAAACACGGCCATCGGGAGCAGTCTTGTAGTCCTGCAAGGATGCCCACAGACGCATCCCTGACCTGACAAGGCTAAGATGAATAAGCAGGTTCCCTGCTCTAAGAAATTTAAGAGATCTCACTCCTGGAAAGGCCCTGGCTGGCGTCTGAAGGAGTGTTAACAGGGCAGAGGCAGGAGGGAGGATGGCCGCGGAAACGGGAGAGCGGTCCTGGCGGAAGGGGCAGCCAGAGCAGGACAGACCGAGGCCCGGGGACAGAAGGGAGACTGTCCATCCCCACCGCCCGCGTCAGCTTGCTTCCGTGAACTCCAGCTTCCAGGAGCCGCCGCCGCTTCCTTCCAACCCTGGGGTTCCGGGAAGCTTTCGGGCTGGCTAGAGCCACCTGCGGACCCAGGAGCTGATTTTGGTGCCAAATGCGTCAAGGAATCACATCCCCAGTGTGCAGAGACCTAACCAATGAGTGGCGTGGGGACTGGAGGAGAGTAGAGCTTGAGGATGCTGCAAGGAGGGCTGTGATTGGTCCCCCAACCGACCAATCACGAAACTTTAAACGCTGAGCCAATAGGAAGGCTGCTGAAGCCTGCGGCGGCCGGGGAACCGCAGACTGGAGCGACAAGTGTCAGGGATGGGAGGGAGTTCAGGAGACCAGGAGGGGAAACCGAGGCAGTCTGAATGCCTTCGGGTATCTGGGGTAGTCAGCCTGTTAACTGGGGTTTCTGAATGGATACTGGGTAGGTGGTGGGGGTGCTGACTTCTAGACCAGAACTTGCAGCCATGTGTCTTTCAAATTTTTCTTTCCTCCTTCCAGGGGCTTCCAGGCAGCCGACTTGTGCCATCCATTCGGTACGGTGCCAGCACCGAGGGCAGAGGCCAAGAAGGGCAGGGGCTCTGGAGCCAGCTGCCTGGCTTTACTCCCTAGCATGCCACTTACTGCCGTGGGACATTAGGCTCCAGCTGCCAAACAGACTACAGGACAGCCAGTTAAATTTGAATTTCAGATAAACAAGGGACAATTTGTTTGGTATAATTATGTCCCATGCAACATTTGGGACATACTTATATTAAAGTAACTGTATTTATCTGAAATTCAAACTTAACAAGGCATTCTGTATCTTTATTTGCTAAACCTAGCAACCGTACACAGCCTGGGGGAAATATTTCAACTTCTCTGTTCACCCTCCTCATCTCAAAATGAAGATTAAGAGGAAGATGAAGTGATGGGGCGCCTGGGTGGCTCAGTCTTTAAGTGTCTGCCTTCAGCTCAGGTCATGATCCCAGGATCCTGGGATTGAGCCCCGCATCCGGCTCCCTGCTCGGTGGGAAGCCTGCTTCTCCCTCTCACACACCCCCTGCTTGTGTTCCCTCTCCCGCTGTGTCTCTCTCTGTCAAATAAACAAAATCTTAAAAAAAAAAAAAAAAAAGAGGAAGATAAAGTGAGTTAATGCTTACTTATTTACTCACTCAGCATGGTGCCCAGCATGTGAAAAATCCTCTATGAATGTAACAACTATTATTCATGATCGTGGCTGCCTGGGTAGTTTCAGATCTACTCATGGCCATCTCTCCTGCTGGCTAAAACCAGCCTGAATGAGCAGGGAGCCTTCTTCATCTTTGTACCCCTGCACCCCAAGACTGGTCCAAAGACACCCCCAATCAATATTTAAAGAATGAATGACTATCCCACCCTCTCTGGCTTTCACAAGTTAATGCACGGAATGACACCTACCTGATCAAGATATTTCTTCCACACAGGTTCGGTGTTATCAGCAACAAATTCATTCCAGCCATGGACCTGTCTCCGTTGTGACACTGAGAACTCAGACAACCCATTTTCTAAGTCCACCTGGAATGACACGGTTAAGCACGGGCTCACCGATGGGCCCTGAGCGGCCAGGGAGCCCACCTCACAGAACTCCCACTTCAGAAGCCAGTCGTGTCCAAAATGGACCAGGAAATTGGATTGTCCACAAAGGAGAAGGAACTTGTTCAAAGACCCCGAGCAAATAGGAACAGAGAGAGAAGGAACACCCACAGGCCAGTTCTTTCTCACTTTCCTGCACTTCTGCCCTATAATTACAGCAGAAAAGACAACCTTAAGCCTAAATTTCAATGAGATTGTAGCAGGGAGGATTCAATGGGATTGTATGGGGGGATTCCAGAAATACAGAAATGCTTATATTTTCTTCTTTAAAAAAAAAAAAAAAGGTCTTGGGAACCTGAAAAGCTGCAGCTGCTATACATGGGGATTCCTCAAAAAATTAAAAATAGGATCCCCACACGATGCAGCAGTTACCCTTCTTGGCGAAGAGATACCAAAAGAGGTGGGTCTCAAAGGGATGTGTGTACACCCATGTTCAAAGCACTGCTATTCTTTTTTTTTTTCCAAAGATTTTTATCTGTTTGTTTATTTGAGAGAGAGAGTATGAGTGGGGGGAGGAACAAAGGGGGAGGGAAAAGGAGGGGGTAAGAATCTCAAGCAGATTCCCTGCTGAGCGTGGAGGCGGATGACACAGGGCTCCATCCCATGACCCTGAGATAATGACCTGAGCTGAAACCGAGAGTCAAGTCAGAGGCTTAACCAACTGAGCCACCAGGCGCCCCTAGCAGCGCTATTCTCAATAGCCAAGAGGTGGGAACAGCCCAGGGGCCCAGTGATGGCTGAGTATACCAGTCAGGAAAAGGCAGACTATACGATCCCACTTACATGAGGTGGTGCGAGTAGTCAGATTCCCAGAGGTGAAGAGGAGGAGGTGGGTGCTAGGGGCTGCGTGGTGTGCAGCGGGGAGTTACTGTTTCATGCAGACAGAACCTCAGTTTTGCAAGATGCAAAGAGTTCTGGAGGCTGGCTGCACAAAATGGGCTCAATACTCCTGAACTGTACATCAACAATGCTTAAGACGGCAAATTTTACATTGTGCATTTTACCATAATTAAAAATTAAAAAGAAAACAACAGAAAAAAGGCCCCTCCATAGAAACAATAGCTAAAATTATTATATCGTACATACACTGTGCCAGATACAATTTCAAGTCCTTTACACAAACTAACATTAAATCGAAAATTATGTAAGACAACCTTGTTGTTCTGGTTGCAGCAAAGGTATCCTTGTTTTTAAAAAGTCGGCAACAAGAAAGTTGTACGGGGTGAAAGAGGTGACAGGGAAAGCTGAACTGATTTCTAGATTCATTTCAAGAGAGAAAGAAAACCAAACTTGTTTGCTGGACAGGGAAGACATCTAGGTGAGGCAAGACTATTTCCTTCCCTTAATACTAACAAGCAGGACTTGAATTTAAACAGATGTTTGAATTATTCTCAAGAAAACGCTGCCATGATGGGACACCTGGGTGGCTCAATCAGTTAAGTGTCTGACTCTTGCTTTTGGCTCAGGTCATGATCTCAGGGTTGTGGGATCGAGCCCCACGTCAGGCTCTGTGCTGGGTATGGAGCCTGCTTGGGACTCTCTTTCTCTCCCTCTGCAGCCCCCCACCCCGACTCTCTCTCTCCAAAAAAGAAAGAGGGAGAGAGGGAGAGAGGGAGAGAGGGAGAGAGGGAGGGAGGGAGGGAGGGAAGGAGGAAGGAAAAAAGGCTGGCACGAAACACGGATTTCTAATTGTCTTGAGAGTGTGGCATATGCCCCTTTATTAGTGGATTTTTATTTGCTTTCCCAAAGTGTGGTGGGTTATGCGTAAATACACACACAGACACACACACACACATCACTATGCTCAGTTTTCTAAGTAAATTAAAAACAGAAGGCAAGCAACATTCTTTAGCCTCAGAGAAGAGCATCATGGAGGGAAGGTGTTGTATGGTTGGGTGTTTGTGTGTGTGTATGTTTTCTTGCATTGGCCCGGAGGTCAAATTCACTTGAGAAACATGTAAGGGTTTGGTTTCAGTAATTGCAAACACCCTGGATTATAAAGGAGGAAGTGTGTGAACAGGGGGTGATTAAAAGTTTGAACTTTCTTGTCAGACCACCTGGATTCAAGTCTCACTGTGCTCCTTTGGAACCGTGTGGGTTCCCATGTTCTCTGGGTCTCTGAGTAAGAGAAACAAGGATATAGAGATTGGGGAGGGTTCCTGTCCTCTGGCAAGGACCCCATGAGGGTTGGTTCCGTTGACAGCAATGATGATGACAGTCCACGTGGGACATCAAAACAGTTCAACATCAGCAGCATTTTCTAGCAATGATGATAAAAATGTATAATTTGTGTTGCTTTCTTCTGAAGCTAAAAACCTTACCATACTAGCCTCAAAGGCAAATTCAATACTTACATAAAATGCTTTGGCCAAATCTTCTTTGTGGCATTTGCTTGCCTCCTTGGGTGACAGAGCTGCAACTGTTTTCTCTTTTTCGATGGCTTTCAATTCACACTGCCCACCAATCTGTGAAAAAAGCAGGATTGCTGTTAAGTGAATTGTAATTTTGTACTGATATGCTGTTTTCAAAGTATTAACATACACAGAGAAAATGCACATATCTTAAGTACAGCTCAAATTCTCACAAACTGACCCATACAGCCAGCCTCCAAATCAAGAAACAGACATTACCAGCCCCTAGAAGCTACTCGTGCTCCCCTCCCACTGGAGGAAGGATGACGACTGTCATGGTCTCTGTCACCATAGGTTTGGCCAGGTCTGAACTTCATATATAAAAAGTAACCTGCAATAGCTACTCTCCCATGTCTGCTTCCTTCCACTCAACGGTGTTAGTGAGATTCATGCATGACCTGCACGCAGGGATGGCTGCTAATTTTCATGGCTCTTTAATATTCCACTGACTGAGTCTATCACAATTTATTTATCTGTTCTACTCCTGATGGACCTTTGGGTTGTTTCCAGTTATTGGTTATTACTGATGCATCTATTTTTTTTTTTAAAGATTTTATTTATTTATTTGACAGAGAGAGACACAGCGAGAGAGGGAATACAAGCAGGGGGAGTGGGAGAGGGAGTAGACTCCCCGCTGAGCAGGGAGCCTGATGCGGGGCTCGATCCCAGGACCCTGGGATCATGACCTGAGCCAAAGGCAGACGCTTAATGACTGAGCCACCCAG